GACTGGCCGGGTTTTGCAACCCTTTCGGCGTTCCGGGTGCTCAGTGTTTTGAAGTGATTTTGTTTTAGTGTTCGGAAGTGATCGAAACTGGCAGCGTTCACAAGTGATTTTTTCAGTGTTCTGAAGTGATTGTCTACCTCGTCAGATGACCAATATCTCGTTGACCGGACCGCTGCAAATGAGTTTTTACTTGGATGTTCGGCCAAGTTAGCCAGTGGTCTTCTGGGTTATTCGCGAATAACGAGGTGAATTCTATTGAACGGGGGACGTACAAGTGGCTCATTACCAGCACCAAACTTGTCCACGAACACCCAACCAGACTTCCAAAAGGCAAACCGAAAGGAAGGCCACATTTATTTATTTATGTATTTATTTATTTATTTATTTGTGTTTTATTCATTTATGATGTATTTATTTGATGTTTTATTTGGTTGGGGGGGCCAAAAGCGTTATTCCCAAGCAGAAACCATTCAACGAGTTGGTCGTGGCGTTGCGGCGTTGCGGTTGTCGTCCGAAGGCAGCGGAGCTCTTGGCAGCCTTTGCCTTCTTGCCCGGCTCGGAGAAGGGCCCCGGCAAGGCCCGCGGCTTTGCTGGGCCCAAGATGGCGTCCGGAAAGCCCCGGCGATTTTTCCCAAAACCGGGAGGGGGTAGGCGGAACAAGAGTCAAGCGAAGGTTTTTTGCTTTGGGGGATCCATTTGGGTGGTTCTTTTCTTTGAGGTTACCCCCTCCCAACAAAATATATCAATTAACAACTTTATTTATATATAAATATGACATATATATATATATAAAAAAATATCAACTAAATGCTGCAAATGTAGCCCCTAATCTCCCTTCTTTGGGGTCGTAAACATCGCTGTGTGACTTGAAGTGGGGCGAGGGGAAGTGGCCGATCCTGGTGGCAGCTTGGCGTTGAAATCAAGAGCAACAAAAAACAACTTCAAATAGCTTAATTTAAATTGGAATGGGACACAAATAGGGTCAAGGGAAGCACCCAAAGGTAACGAAAACAGCTTTGCGGGTTTGTGGGGATGGTGCTCGCCCGGTTTTGTCTGTTGGGACCAGTCGATCGTTGTTGCTCTTGGGTACGCCCGACAATGGTTTCCCTGGGAAAAATGTTTCTGCTTTGGGGGACTTGGTTTGCCCAACCCCCCTCCGTCTGTGTTTCGCGGCTTCGTTTTGCTTGGCTTGGCAACCCACGGTCGTTTGGGGGGAACAAATGCAACTCCAACCAAAGGTTTCTCCCTTTTGTTACGCCCTTGTGGAACGTTTTCAATTGGACATCAAAAATTGCTTTTGTCCCCCTTTTAAAGCTCCTTCTTTTCGGGACGACCTGGGCGAGCTGGTTTTTGGTCCCCGTCCCTCTCCGCCTCCCCAAATCAGCCAGGCTCAGCAGCTGGCGGCGCTGGCGGAGGCGGCGGCGCGGCCCGGAGCGCGGCACGGCTGCGCCTGCGGGGAGCCTTGGGCCAACCGCGCAGGCCGCGGTTTTCGGACACGGGACCCATTTGGGACCCGTATGGCTCACAAGGAAAGGAAGCTGGGGTTACTTACGCGGGTTTTGATCCTTTTTTTTTGCCTCTTCCATTTGCCAAGGTGTCATTTTGGTTCCACTTGTTTGAGCCACATGTAGCTGGCATTGCCAGAAGGCCTCGGACATAGAAGGTGCACCTTTTGGTTGGCAGTTTGGAGCAAAGAGGAGTTGCCATTGCCACATGGGTACCCTTTCAGGTTGATGAAAAGGACAACCAACAATTTTAAGCAAGCCTCAGTTGGGGTGCTTGAAAGCCGTCATCACGTGGCAGTAGGTTTGGAGCACTGCTGCTTGAGAAACCTGAGCCTTGTTGAAGGAAGCGGGTCCCAAATAACGGATGTTTCCCAAAATGCGGGTCCCGTGTGGCAATGGCTTCCTGTCCCTTCAAACTACCAAAAGGGGGTGTGCCAGGCAGTTTCGGGAGGGATCAGCCTCCTAGTCTTGCTGGTTCCCGGCAGGGACTGAGGCACCCCCTGTAACTCGTCCCATGTTGCTTTCGTTTAGGTCTCGAAACGGTTGATCCCAAAGCGCCCTTGTCAGCCTGTTGATTTCCTGGGGATCGGCAGATACTGCCCTACAGCTTGCCCCACACCCCACCATGTTTAGCACCGCAATCTCATTTTGGGGAACGGGCCTCTCTTTCTTTTTGGCAACTCATGTCAATCTGTAGACTGAAAACATATTGTCAGATGCTGTTTCATGTTCGATGCACCGTAACGTTTGTTGATAAACAATGGAGGAGACCCCTTTTCTTGGTGATTCCCAGCCATCCGCTTAGGCTTTTAGGTTTTTTAGTTGGTTCAGTGGTAGTGTCCATCCAGCCTACTACGAGCAACTTTTTCTCGGGGATCAGAAACCGGACAGCCCAGGACTTTTTCGCAGGGGAGCAGCGTGCTTTTTGGGATCTCCAAAAGTGGGCGATTTTGCTGGAGGCCACCAGGTCCTTTGCCACTTTCAAGGAGGAACTCCAGTGACCCCTGCAACCTCAGAGCTTTTTTCTTTTTTTTCGGGGGTCAGAAAGCGGACAGCTCTGTTTGTTTGCAACCCCTCTTCACTTTTCGTGGCGACGCCGCAGAGGTTTCGGCCGGCTCTGGCCGCGGAAAAAAAAAAAACAAAAACGGATCCGAGGAGAGGGCGAGCTTGGTGCACGTGGCCGGGGATCTCAAGGCCTGGCCGGCCATGCGGCGGTTCTTGGCGGCGAGGCCAGGCTTGGAGGAGGAGGAAGAGGGCCGCGCGGTTGCCTCCGGCGCAGGCTTTTTTTTTGTTTGCGTGTGATGGTGTGTTTTTCTGTCTGTGTGTGTGTTTGTTGTGCAGTCCTCTATTTCTTTGGTTGTGTGTTTCCTGGCTTTTTCAGCTCTTTGGTTTTGCTTCTTTCAGTTTTCCGCGAGGGGCCCTGGTTCCCGGGCGTTCCTTGCTGAGGCCTTCCGAGCCCCAGCCGGCAGTGGTGGGGCGGAGCCGCGCGGAGCAGCCGGCTCAGGGAGCAGAGCCAGCAGCAGCTCTTCCTCATGGCGAAGCGCCCCGAGGAGAAAAAAGGTCGGAGTCGGGGGTGGGGGGTTGGGGGGGGGGGGGTTGCTCAGTTCATGGGCGCGCTGCATTGCCCTAAAGATGGCAAGGGGAGCACGTGGTGGTTGTTGGGAAACATGTTTTTGTTTTTCTTCTTCTTTTTTTTCCTCTAATTTTTGTGTAAATTGTGGTTTCGTGGTTGAAATCTAGCCGCTGAACTGCTGATCTGAAATGTTGTGCTCCCCTTCCAACATCAACCGCGAAAGTTCGGGTGCGCTGCAGGCCCTGAAGGATGGCAAGGGGAACAAGGAAGTTGCCCCTAATTTGCCGTTTGCCATGGATGCGTGGTTGAGACTTGCAATATGTAGGGCGTAAGCCCGAAGTAGTTGCTTCTCTAGTCGCCTAAGTGCACTTTATATTTTCCCCGGTTGGGTTGAAAGGGGACTTATCACTATCGGACATATTGCATTTGTTCAACGAAACTCAAGCAAATGGTGTTGTTTTGGTTTAGAGCAATTGGGGCTTCCTGATACTATAGCTCACTTGTCCATTGGCCTTTTGTTTGTTTTGTTTTTGTTTGGTTCCGAGGGCATAACCATTGTTTCCAGGGCTTGAGGATGCTGCCCCTATTTGTCTGTCTGGCTTTTTTTGGGGGGGTTTGGTTGGTGGTGCAATATGGGATCGCAACATCCGTGGCTCTCCCGGAGCTTGTGGACTTGCAGCAAGCAGAAAGTTTGGAGGCTTGGCCAATGCGCTCAAGGAAGTGAGAGGCTGGCGACCAAGGGAACCTTTCAAGAGACTTGACAGACAAATGTATGCATCAGGTTTTGTGTCCTGCATTTTGCCTGCCAGCAAAAGCAGGTCCTGGGTCGGAAAAATAGCCAGCCCCACTGCCCGGCTCTAAAAACTGCTCGTGCCCCTACACAGTCGTGAGGTTCATGACTTTTGAAGGCTCATCATGGAGGGTCTACAAGCCCAGGAACGCCTGGGAGAAGCGCTAAGGGCCCCCTACCAAGGCCACGACCCCACCCCCCAACCCCCCATAGATCAGGGGCCTGGGGGGGGGGAAGGGCCAAATCAGCCCTTCAGGCCGGCCTCATGGGCTTAGGTGGGCTCCCCCCCAAGCTGAAATGCGGGTTTCGGGGACCTCTTCCCAGGCAGCAGGGCCTGGACTACGTGACGCAGGTGGGCGCGTCCTGGTGCCACACGATGTGGACCACGCCGCGGGTTTACCACGCCGCCCGCTTGGAGGTGACGAAAGCGGACCAGTCGCTTGCCTCCGATCTCAACCGGGCGGTTCTGTATGGAGACCTGGAGTCTACTTGGGGGTGGAGTTCCTTTTTTTTCGGGGACCTTTGTTTTTGGTGGTTTCAACTGGAAGCCAAGAGGCAAACCAACCATTTTGTGAGCACCCCAAAAAATGAGAGAGACCCGATGTTGCTAACCACCTTTTTTAGGGTATTGGTTTAAATTTGTCAAAATCGTTGAGAATCATCTCGAAGTGCCCATGGAGTGCCCCCCCCCCACCCCAAAAATATATGTTGGTTCCTGTCCTTTGGCTTCTGCTCCCACTGCGGATCTGCTGCCTGGGCGGTTGAGTGTGGCTTCCATGTCACTTCGGCGTCTCCTCTCGGAACTGGCTTGTCCCATGCCACATCCGCGGGTCCGGGTCAAAGGGGCTGGAAGGCTGTTGACAAATCTTTCGCGGTGTCTGAAGGTTCCCCTTTGTCGCGGCTGTTCAAAGGTGATCCTTAATCCTTACCTTGGGAAACGCAAGGAGCCGGTCCCCTTGGCAGTGGCTTCCCTAATGGGAATTCGGATAGGCCAAGCCTCCATTTTGAACAGCCCAGTTTTTTTTCTTGTCTCAAAGGACAACCTAAAGGAAACCCGGTCCCCTATGGTTTTAGACACACCCCCTGAAGGCTCTTCGCCTAGCGTCCTCGGGCTGTCGCTTCATGTGCCCAGGTTGGAGATCGAAACCACCGCCGCGCGGCTCCGCGTGCGGCTGACGCCGCTGACGCCTACGGCCTCGGCTGCGCTGGAGGTGACTTTGCGCACCGCAGACCTCACGCTGGACGTGGCGTCTGACGGAGACGCGGCCGGAAGGCATCGCCTGAGTTGGAGCGCGTGCCTGGAGCGGGAGTGGGTACTGACAAGGTGGGGCCACAAAACGGCGTGTTTTTTTTTTTGGGGGGGGGGGGCGGGTGCGCCTTTGAGTTGCTCCCAGTTTTGGTGCCTTTTTGGCCCATTTCAGCGGCTTCCCGGAAATGTGTGCTCCAGTTCCCCATTTATGTTGGCCGCCCTTTCTTCCTGGTGGTTGTTGGGAAACATTTTGAATTTTTGCTTATGGTGGTGTAGTGGGAAATCTCCACTGAAGGGAAATCCCCACTGACCTGCTAAGATGTAATTTTGCTCCCCTTCCAACGTCAACCTAGTTTTGGGTTGACATCTCCCCCCGGCTCGAAAGTTGGTGAAGTTAGGTGGCGGCTGTCCGCTTCGCTTGTGGAGCTCTGTGGTGCCTCGCTGCACCTCAACGCATCGCTCGGCTTCCCCTTGGGTTTGTGGGTGGCCAGCGAGAGCGAGTCCGCACGCTGGGCCGTTTGCGTGAAAAGGTGAGGCTCAGGGAAATGTTGGGTCGAAGTCTTGGGGTCCATCTGCTTCTAGGTCTCCCAGTAGTGCCCTTTTACCCTTTCGTGGGGGGTTCCCCTACTAAAATAGACTATAGATAAAAGGGCACCCTCGTTCTAACCTCTCTACTGGATGACCTAGGCTTACTAATCTCTTGACGCTGATGGGCTTCTCCCAGGCTTGTAGAAAGCCCTTGCGTCTACCCTGGGCTTACAGATGCTTCTGCTGGCATCGCGCCCCAAGAAAACTCGCACCCGAACCACGACCCCCAAAAGATTCAAAAGATCCTTCCGAACTCCGAACAGGCCCAAGGTGACCAGAGACCACCCTGCTGGCTTGCCTTCCTATGGCGTTTCCAGGTCGGGGTTGCAGGGGTTGCAGAACCTTGGGGGAAAAACCGAAAAAACGGCCGCGTGGCTGCCAAGTTCGCGGACTGTTGGGCTGCCTCGTAGTTGTTCACCTCCTGCCGTCCTTTGACAGCTCAAGCACCCTCACCGGGTGCTGTTGCAAGATAGCCTTTGAGCCCCCCGTGCAAATCGCACGGGTTTCGATACCGATCCTACATGTCAACGGGCAAACCCGAGAACGTTACACCTGGAGCTCCACCGAAGCTCACTGGCCCAAAGCGAATTCAATTTTTGACCTTTGTTTTTTTCTTCATGTTCTTTTTTGCTTTTGTTTAGTCATGGCCATCATGGCCCCCCAAAAACGTGAGCACCTCCACTCATTTCTGGGTCCCATCCAAAGCGACTGAGGAAGTGGGCGCGCCATCTTCTGGTGCTGCTGGGCATCGTTTTGCTGGTCTTCGTCTTTGACTCCTTGGTCTTTGGCTCGGTTCCACTGAGCCTGAAGCAGTTCCAGTGGAGCGCCTGCGACTTGGTCATCAGCTTCCTCCTGGGCGCGTGCGCGCTGCAGGCATACCTCCTCAAACGAAAGTCGCCAGAGGCCAGGACAGAGAAAGAGGAGAAGGAGAACGGCAATGGGAAGCCGCCGGCCAAAACGATGAGCAACATCAACAGGGAGCTGGACCGAGTGTCGCAGCAGGGGGCGAAGCAGGTGGAGGCGCAAGGGCGCCAGGTGTTCAAGCGAACGTGTTGTGCAAAGCCGGATGGCTCGCACTTGAAACGCCAACCGAACGGGGGTTTCCCAGTTTCGTTGCCTTTCCACAACGGCACAAAATACATCAACCACCCCCCTGAGTCCCCTCCAACCTCCCCCACTTGAAGGGCTCCAAATAAGATACTTGACTGTCTGACCACCAAGAACAACGTTTTCTTCACCAGACCCAAAGGAAATCATCATTGCATAATTGCACATTGTGCTTGTTTTTTGCACAGTCCCCGGACCGATTCACAAAGTTCATGGAGTTAGCCCGTTTCGCCCCAGGCTTTTCCCCGCATTTTCCCAGGCCGTCCTCCGCAAGTTTGAGGGTGTGCCAGGGGCCCTGGATGCCTTGAGCTGCTCTGCTCAACTTTCGGCCCCGGCATTTGCCTGGGATGGCTGGGCTTGCCAGTTACCCAGATACAGCACTATTCTTGGATGTTCGAACGGGTGGCAAGTCCTTGGTTACCTACCTTTTCCAGGTAAATATCCATTTGCTTTTTCGACGACTGGTTGCTTCTTCTTTTTTGTTTGCTTCCCGTTCACGGCTGGGAATCCTGGGCGCTTTTTTGCCATTCGTATCCGGGTCCTTGGCTTGACCTTCTGTTTCCTGCTGGTGCTACCAGCTGGAAGCTACAGGAATTTCTACCGGAACTTGGGCAAACACTTGCCAAAACACACAAATGGGTTTCCACCGAGAAGGTGTAGAAAGAACCTGTGACCCTGAACTTGATTTTTTCCAGGTAACCCCGAATTGGTGGTTTGGATGGGTGGTTTGGGGGTTTAAACCGCCCCGCCTTAATCAAGCCATCAATCCAACCCACGAATTCTCATTTCCTGAGCTCCATTTTAGTGGAAACCACAAAGTTCAGACTTCGTTTGGGGCCATCCACACAAAAATGAAAAACTTGCTGGTGACATAGGAGTGGAAACCACACAGTTCAGACTTCGTTTGGGGCATTCCCATTCCACGCAGAAATTGAGAAACTTGCTGGTGCTCAGTTGGTAGCAAATGTAGCAATGAACCCAGGGTTTTTTTCTTGAGGGAAAGCACCAGTTGGATGTTTTATCGGTGTCATTCCTCATTCCCTGCTGAGAACCAGCAAGGGAATTGTGTGTTTTTTTTTTTTGGGGGGGGGGGGACGTTTTTTTTTTTTTTCTGGGCAATCCTCACAGGGAGTGAGACATTGGATTTTGGCTGGCGAAAAACCTCTCTGAGACTCTGAGGCTACAATCTGGTGATCCGCGCGCACGCCAAGGAGGGCAACCACAAGCGAGCCGGGGAGTGGATCATGCGCATGGAGGCGCGGGGTGTTGGGGTGTTGCTCGTTGCTCGGCGGCTCTCAAAAGAAGAGGCCAATCCCTCCCCAAGTTCTTGGGGGTTCTTAGGGTTTTTGGTTTTTGGGTTTCAGTGGGGGTTTCCATTTGACACACAAAGCTAAACTTTTAGGGGATCAGGCTAGAATTGGTGGTTTTCAACTTGAGGTTTCCCCTTTGAAACAAGCGACAAGGCTACCCTCCTGAAAGCATACGCCCTTTTGGTCGGATCTTTAGCATTTGATTCTATTGTACAGGCATGTTCCCCAACCAGCCAAAGTTCACAACTTGCTGAAGGGCCAATCGCCAGCAAGTGTGCCGACCTCTTGCGGTAGGCCATGAAGGCAAATCTGAAGGTTTGCTTTGACCAGGACCCGGGGCTGTTTGTCCTTTTGGCCTTGCCTTGTTGAACTCCCTTTTTTCCGTGGGTCCGAAAGGCGATTCACTTTAAAGCTAAGTCCTGGGCCCCTTTTCCGGAGACCCCCTCCCCCTCAGCCGCCCGGGTTCAGCCGCCAGGAGCGGGGCATCAAGGCCACGGTTTCTTCATTGCTCTTGGCAAGTTGTGTCTTGTTTTGTTGTTGGTTCTGCTGAAGTGGTTTTGTGTTTGTTGTTGTTTTATTTGTCGGTTCTGTTCATTTTATAGGTTTTTGGGGTCAAAAATGGGTACCCAACATGGAACCCTGGATGGAAACAAAGACCAAAACCGCGCAGCCCTAGCTCTTTATTTTTGAGCCACGCCCATTTAGGTTGGGGAGCCCGTTTTTTTTTGCCCAGGCCATGGCCCGCTTGGGAACCGAGGTCTGCAGCTACAACACCCAGCTGGACGCCTGCGCCAAGGCGCAGAACGCCGAGGCCTGCGAGCGCTGGCTGCAGCGCATGCTGGACCAGGCGCAGATTTTTGTTTTTGTTTTTTCCTTGTCTGCGACTTCGGCCTTCATACTGTGGATGGACATGGTTGAAACCATTGTTTGTTGGTATTTACAGGTGAATCATCATTCCAGGGTTTCTCAGGTGGTGCAGGATTTCGTCCACCCACAGTACCATGGTGGTTGTTGGGAAACATTTTGCATGTTTGCTTATTGTGGTTTAGTGGCTGAAATCCAACCACTTAACTGCTAACAGTTTAAATTTTTGCTCCCCTTCCAACGTCAACCAAGATACTGTGGATGGACGAAATCCGTTGGTACCATCTGAGAAACATGAGGATTCCCCGACGTAAATAGCAACCAACCTTATGATTTCAACCATGGTTTCCAAGCTGTGCGAAATGGTCTTCGTCCGACAGCGTATGGGTGTGTCGTTTTTGTTGTTTGTTTTTTTTTGGGGGGGGGCTCCCATAAAATGGTGGGCGTTCCTTTTGATTGCCCTTCAAAACCACAAAAAAAGGGGCTTGAACCCATACGAAGTCCGGGCATGAGCCACTGGTCCATTGGTTAATTCCCCCCATGGCAAACGAGTCCCCAAACAAAATTTCATGGAACCTGCAAACATGTATTCTTTTGTGGCTTCCGAAGGAAAAGGCAATTGCCCAAAACTTGTGCCGACCAAGAGGTCCCTCTGGTCCCCCTCACATCCAGGCTGCTGTTGGGCGGGTTTAGGGTTGACTTTGAGTGGGTTTGGGTTGGCTTGGTGTGGTTAAGTGAGTTTTGGTCTCGTTTAGGATTGTTTTTGGGGGCGTGGCCCCCAACCACCAAAACTCGCCCACAACTCACTTTAACCACACCCCAAAGCAACCCTAAAGCCGCTAAACCAGCAGCACACCTTTCGCAAAACACACATCCCGTGGAATCAAGGGAACCCACCATTTACAAGGCAATGTTCAGGTGTATAATGCAATGCAAGGATCCCTGTTAAGCTTTAACGCCATTTGGATCGTTCGCCTTTCAGCTTTGGACCCTAAGGTTTGGTTTTTCCGCCTCTTCCACCTCTTCCACCTGCTGGTCCCCCCTTTTTCTTTTTTTTGCTTCTTGCACTCCGCAGAAGCCGCAGAAGCCGGACCGTTCTCTGGAAGCCGCCCGGCATTCGGACTTGCGCTGTTTTAAGGGAGTTTTGTGAAACCTTTCTACGTTGACCCGTGCCCATGCCGAACTTCTTGCTGGTGAAACCCAGTCCGCGGGTGGAACGAGCGCTGCCCGAAGAGGACCTCCAGCCCAACGTCATCAGCTTCGCGACGGTGATCCACGTCTTCGCGCGGCGCGGGGATGCCGAAAGGGCGCGGAGGCACGATTTTCAAAAATTAGCTGCCAGAAAGAGATGCTCCCTTTTGCCTGGCCGTGGACAGCTTCTTGCACCACGTCCCATCCTCTGGTTTTGCGGCGTCCACATCCATGGGGGCAGGGTTCCAGACACCCAGAAGTAGGATTTTTACAGGGATTGCACGAACCCCCAGATGAATCAACCTGGCAGATGAACCCCCTCCGGGTGTTCCCTGTAATATCAGTCACGCGATTGTATGCCGGGGACAGCTCAACAATATTTAAGCTACAAATGTTAGAAGCATCTAACATTTCTTTGGCCGGATTTTGCGGGGTGAGCCGGCTCACCCCGCCGCGGAGCAGTGAGCAAATGGTTGAACCCACATGTCCTTCTTTTAGGCTACCCTTCATCGGCAGTTTGGATTGGTTTGAGGGTTTGAACCCCTGGTTCTTATAGAGGGCAAATGGGACACCATCCCCCAGCCTCCCAACCAATCCGAGCCACCGATTGTTTCCCAAGCCATCCCGGTAGGTTCCATTTGGAGGTGGCGTTTGAGGCGAGTCCCCCCACCCACTCGCGCGAAGCCACTTAGCAAGTTTAACCACCTAGTTGCCAAGGCAACAAGACAAGACCACTGGCTTCCGATGTGGAGATCCTCCAAAGTGTCCAAGCGCTTTTTGTCTTGTAGTCTTAGATTCTCCCAAAAAACAATCCAAAGTGTCCAACCGTTTTAAGGTTTTAGAGACCTACTGTGGATGGACGGAATCCATTTCGCACCACCTACAGAAACCCTGGGAATGATTCGATTCCCCCTGCAAATACCAACCAACCACGGTTTCCCATAGTTTCCGAGTGCAGGAATGAGTCCACCCACAGCACGTCTTCTTTACATGCCTGAAAGGAATTTCCCGTGTTTTTTTTCGGCGAAAGCTGCCTCTCCATAGGTCCGACCGACCTGGGTACGGATGCTGATTCCTATTAATTGGATGTCGCGAGGGACAAGGGACCCCCACGAAATTTTACCCCGCTGTGCTGTAAGGTGTTGTTTGCGTGGGTTTGTGCTTGTGTCTGTGTCTGTGTGGTTTTGTTTTTTGGGTGTTTTCTGCCTTTTTTTTTGGTGTGTGTGTGGTTTACTTGCCAAATGGTAGGAATCGGCATCCACCTTTTTTCACCTCGCTTCGACATCTCAAAGTTATAACATGTGAGGGTTCTTGCCCAGGTGGTCTCTGGAGTTCGGAGCGGCTGGGCGTTTTCGGGTTCGAAAGGGGTGCGGGGCTTGCTGCTAAGGATGCCACCCGAGCGCTTTTTTTTTTTTTTGGGGGGGGGGGCGGGCAGCCGAAAGGAAGAGCATTGTTCTTCAGGTATCTCTGAGTGAATGGTTTGGATTCCAAACCACAAAGATCCAACCCCAGCAACTCAACTACTGACTTATATGTTTTCAAGGTTGCCCTCCGGTCCACCCCCCCATGAGGGTCCCTTGTAAAGGAAAATCGTCCATGCTAGTGGTCGGGAGGGTAAGCATATCAATGCAAGATATGGATGTATCAATTGTTTTAGGTGAACCCCCCCGCGCAACATCAAAAGCAACAAACAAGCAAGCAAGCAAGCAACCAAACAAACAAACAAACAAACAACCAAACACACGAACACACAAGCACATGGTGGTGTGCCTTCTGGCTTTTCCTTGAAACTACCCAGAGAAAAGTCCACGAAAAGCCGCGGCTTCTTTCAAGAGCAGACGCGGCCGCCCGGCCGCGCGAGGAGTTCCTGGGCCTGGTGGCCTCCGTGCCCGTGGAGAGCTCCGAGCAGCCGCGGGCCGTGGAGGCTCCGGCGGGGGCCGGAAGGCGGCGCTCGGCGCTCGGAGTCTTTTTTTTTGTTTTTTTGTCTTTTTCGTTTAGTTTGTTTTTTCTATTATTATTTTTTTTTTTGGGGGGGGGGGAGTTTTTTTGTTTCTCCCTCGTGTTTTTTTGTTTCTTCTCCTTTTTTCCAAGCTTTTGGCACCCTTTTTTTGGAGTTTCGATGGAGGCGATGGTACCCAATGACCCTTACTAAGTTGGTTGAACGCCCAAAAGGAAGCCACAGGAAAGACTTGTCCTTGGAACATAATACGTTTTGCAAAAAAGAGTGTAAAACTGGGTTAGCTATGTAGGTATGGGACACGTTGCACTAGAATATCAGTTCTTCCGCTGCTTTTCAACTGCTAGCGTTTCATTTTTGTTGCCGTTGCGGATCCCTTACCAGCGGTGACGTATCACATGTCGCAGGAAGGACATTGATCCGAGTTCATCTCCAAAAAGGTCCTGTTGCGAAAGAACAAGGAACCCCCCCAGTCCACACCCGTCATTCACCCTACGGTTTTGCGATGACTTGCAAAATTTCTGTGGGTTTAAAGGTGGAACCTCCCCTTATCCCACGCAGATGGCTGCAGCTCAAAACATGGTACCCCAAATGGACTTGGGGGCCTTAGCAAATGGAAAAGACAAAACTTGCGTTACGCCAGCTCTTTGCTTTTGAGCACGCCCTTCCCCCTATGATTTTTCGGCCCTAAATATTGCAAGTTGGCCAACGGCACCCGCCCACAAAACAATGGTTGACGTTTCAGTCAAATTGGTCGGTCTTGTCGTAAACTTGCCATACTGTGGATGGACGAAACGCATTTCGCGCCACCGTTCAGCAACCTTGGGAATGATTCGATGCCCCGGTAAATACCAACCAACGTAATGTTTGCAACATCCGTGGTTTCCTTTCGTGTTGCGAGACTCGATTTCGGATCTCGTGCGTCTTCACCCACCGTGTGGCGAGTTGGATCGGCATCCTGGCACCCACCGCCCCCTAACATGGTTGTTGATGGGAAACATTTTACATGTTTGTGCTTGTTGTGGCTTCGTGGTTGAAATCCCACCACTCAACTGCTAAAATCTGGGGGATTTTTTGCCCCCCAATCCCAAGGTCAACCAAGCCAACTTCGGATCTTTGGGCGAGGTTCTGTGGCACTTCCTGCGGGACATCGACCCTTGGAGCCTTGATGCCTGGCGCCTCTTCGCGTCGATGGGGGCGCAAAGGGCCAACCAGCAGGCGCGGGCGCGAGGGCTTCCGCGCTCGCCGGAAGCCCCCGGCCCCGAGCGGTGGGGCGCCTCCTCGGTTTTTGCTTGGACTCGGCGGCCCGTTTTTTTTTTTTCCTTTTTTTTTTTTCTGGCGTTGCGCGGGGAAAGCAAAAAACAAAAAAATAAAACTTCGACCAGCTGGACCTCGAAATGTTTGACACAAATAATAGGGGTTCCTTCTAGTTTCCCTGAAGCGAGCCCAGCCTGGAGGGCGGTTTTCTCCAAAAAGAAGCAAAAATGCGGTTCCCGCCCCCCTTCCCCGGTTTGCAAAAGCCGAACATGTACTGCAAATACTTGGTGGTTCCCAGCCTTTGGTGTTTAACTGTTTGTAGGTGGTTTAGTGGGGGGGCCTCCATGACGACTCAGCAAAAGTAAACTCTTAGCAGGGGCTCTGAGGGCAGCGCAGAGAAACAGAGTGCGTGGCTGGACACATTTTTCTCTTTCCTTTTTGGCTCTCGGACCGAGAGGAGACAAATCGGCCATGTGCGTGGTCCCTTATTTGTTCTGCGGCAGTATGCCCTTTTATTGGCTAGGCATAAACGTGAAATCGGAGGAAGTCAACCACCCAGAAGGGACCCTGGAGTGGGTCGAGCTCATTCCTTTTTAATGGCGGGACGGCGGGAGGCTGTGTTTTGTCCATGCGAGTGTTTTCTCAGTGCTTCTGAGCATCTCTTTTCGGCTGTGGGTCTGAACTTCTGAACACCGAAATGAAAATCACTTGCATGGAACACTGTGGCGCCGGGGTGGGAGTGGGGTGGGGGTTGGCATGGACACTGGGGGTTGACGCCAAGTGCCGCGAAGCTGGCGCAGCTTGCTCGCGACATAAAGAGATCAGAAAGAGGGGAGCCGCTGGAGAACCACCAAGAAGCTGTGCCTTTCTTTTAAGTGAACCATATCCACTGAAGTGGCTAAGTCGTCACACGAGCCACTGTGGAACAAACCTACGCACAGCTGCCGCAGTGGAGCTTTCAAAGCCGAGCTTTTCCCGATCCGATCGCCATGTCGGACGTTGAAGATTGGGGCCGCGCGGAGGCCGGGTCTTGTCTTTCTTGTTTTTGGTGGCGTTTTTCATGAGGCGAGCGGACCTTCCAAAGGCCCAACACTCAAGTTGATGTTTTAAGGCGTGGTTTTGTGTGTTTGAAGCAAAGGTCATGGCCAATTGGCGTGTTTTGTTTTTTGGGCCTTTGGACCTCTTTTCGGTTCTACTGCAGACCACTGCGCCGATTTTTTCGGCCAAAAGCCCCAGGTGACCTCCAAGTGCGTGGGGGCCATGACCTGCCGGGTCTTGGCGCCGGAGATCTTCCGGGAGGTGGTTGCGCGCTCAAAGCCGGCCCTGGGGCCGGGGAACTTCTCGGAAGTGGGCAAGGACCGGGGGGGGGGGAGACGTTTTTTCTTCTTCTTCTTCTTTTTTCCCCCTCCCCTTTTTTATGTGTGGCCGATTTTTGTTTATTGTTTTTTTCTTAGGGGGAAAGGAGTTTTGGTCGGTTCTTGAAGCGAAGCGGAAAACTAAAAGGTGAAAACCACATTTTTTTTTGGGGGGGGGACCCTAACAACAGACACACCCATATGATATCCTCCTGTCCGCGTTGCCATCTACCAGAGGGTCCCTTCAAAGTCGGGTTCCATGACGGGAAGGCATTTTTTCCCTCAAGTGACAATCTCATGAGTCCACAAATGAGGAGTTAAACTCATTTAGCGCCCTAGTGTAGTTATCTGGTCATGATATCACAACCACATTTTTGGTCAAGCGCTGCCACTACATGTTTAATATTTTTCTATCCGGCCCACAGATTTGTGTTCCAGGACATTGCCTCTGCGGAGGAGTACACTGCAGTCCGCCAAGCGATCTTCAGCTGCCCATTCAAAGCGATCCGCTGGAGCAGACAGCCGAGGGTGAGATTGGAGCAACTGCCACCTCTCTACGAAGGCTTTCCCAAACGGATTGAAGACAACGTTTATTTTATGGGCCACCCGGACGCCAATACCTTTGCATGTGCCGGCTTCTTCATCCGGCACGAGGGTCACAATATTTTGATCGACCCGCCAATCGCGCATCCCAAGCTTTTGGAGGCAGTGCAGCAGATGGGTGGAGTGCAACACTTGTGTTTTACCCATGTAGATCACACTGGAAATGCCACCGCCTGGTATGAAGCAACGAAGGCATCTCGACTGATGCACAAGGACGATATGGTCGAGGCAGAAAATAAGTACACTCCATTTCCAGTCACCAAAGGCTTCGAGCATCTTTTGGAGCTCAAAGCAGGGGAAACCACCGCCTTGGAGGGCCTGGCTGAATTTCAGATCATTCACACACCCGGCCACACAGCTGGCAGCATCATGTTTTTGTACAAGAAGAAGTTCCTCTTCACGGGGGATTCATTGCATTACTCAGCTGTCAAGGGACATCTGGTTGCGGCCCGTGTCCAATGCTGGCAGAGTTGGGAGTTGCAGACTCAAAGCCTCCTGGTCAACATCTTTCAGGTGCATGTGTTTGCTTAACTGTTGACTAGATAATTATCTTTGTTGGGCTACCCTTGGCCCTTTACAAGAAGCACCCTGGCTGTTTTTGTTCCCTTCTTGTTTTTCTTTTCTTTTTTTCTTCTTCCTCGTTTTCTGAAAGAGAAACAGCACACTGTCATGTGTCTTTCTCCGCTTTTTGTCAGGCGCATCCAAGGTGGTTTGGCTTGGTGGTTTGAAAAATTGAACCCCTGCTTCTTGTAGAGGGCAGATGGCCTAACCGCTAAACCACTACTTCGAGGCAAGCTGAGGTTTGGAACCTCCTTTGGCCCTTTACCAGAAATGCCTTGGCTGTGTTTTTGTGGTTTATGTCTTTGTTTCTTTTGAACTTCAGGAGCAACAGCACATTGCCGTGTGTTCCTTTCTCCTGTTTTTTTTCTCCGGCGCATCCTTTCCAGGTTTGGAACGCCTGCCACAGGACTTCCAGTGGGTCCTGCCCGGGCACGGCGATTGGCGGCGCTTCGAGAGTCCCGGCGCCGCCCGCGCCAGCCTGGACCGCTGCGTTTGGTGGATGAAGCGGCAGGGCAGAGGCCGGACCTGGCTGCCGTGGCTCGGCGTCTTTTCGTTTTATGTTTTTTGCTTTGTTTTGTTTTTGGGGGGAAGGGGAGGGGATCTGTAGAGGTTGTTGGAATGAAACCCGTTCGGGATGTTTTTTTTTGGGGGGGCAAGAAGAGGGGATCTTTAGAGGTTTTTGGAATAAAACCCGTTCGTCATTCTTTTTTTGGGGGGAAGGGGAGGGGATCTTTAGAGGTTTTTGGAATGAAACTCCACAAGGTGAACCTCTTGTGTTTTTTTTTTGGGTGGGGAGGGGGGAGCCATCAAGGTGGTATGTGATTTGGATCGAGTGCCGAAAGCTGCCGCCTGGTCTTTTCACCTGGTTGGCCGACAGCTTCTTGATGACGCAGCCTGGACTTTTAGTGGATCAGGGCTCCTTAAAAGATACATTTTGCCCATTTGAAACATGGCTTTTTCCACCAAAATAAAGGGAACCAACAATTTGTATAATGTAAGGATCCTTGCGGATGCGTGTCTTCTTGTTCTTGATGTTTTATTTTCAGGCGCCGCTGAAGCAGTCGCTAAGCGATCATGTATTGCTTGGGTTACTGCCTAGGAGTCTCCATGACCCTTAACAAATGGGTCCATGACCCCTTAATTTTGGGGTAGTGACCCCATTTTTTGGGGTCATGGAGACTCCAGGCATCTCTCTTTGGGCGTCCTAAGCAAATCCAAGGCAAGGTGCGAAGGATTCGCTTCCCAATTGGACACTGCCATCTTGGTTCACATCCTTGGTACTGCTAGTCCCTCCTGCCATGCTTCTGTTCTGCGCGATGCCGTGGACGACTCTAAAGCGAGCCCTGCCGCTTTGATTCTCAAGACTCTTGAGTTGGAGTCTCGGCCCATGGTCTGTGAGTGTTCTTTACACGGGGGCCAAGTGTGTGAAAACCATGCCCCTCCCTTGAGCCAAGAGGGGCATGTCACAAACAATTGGCCTCACCCTGTTGATTCCCTCGATTGTCCAGCGAAGCGGCCCGAAGCGATGGCGGCATGTGTATAGCGACTGGAGCTTTCTTGCTGCAAAGTTGGGCGTGAGCCAAAAGGTTTGCGCGATGCTGCACGCTTCTAGTGTTCGCCGTGTTTTGACAATGTGGTGGTTTATTGGTGGCTAATCATCTCGGACTGACCTCAATGATTGCAGCACTGCCACCCTGGGCGACAAGGCCTTTGCAGGCCTTCTGCCGCACAAATGCCTTCGGCTTTGACAAGGTTTCCCGACCAAAGCCCCAATCGAGATCTACACGGTGAACACGGCGTCGGATTTGGTGGGATTTGGCTGTTCGCCTGCCGTCATGAGCCCTGCAGCCCTTCCATTGGTTTTCTTCGTTTTGCTGCACAGTCCAGTGCTTACAAACTCTGAGCGAACGCGACACAAATCCTAAACCCATTGAAAAGCACCCTACAACCCACGCAAAACAATTAACCAAACCGACCCTACCCCTACTAACGCTAACCTCAAACCACCTTAAACCCGCCCTAACCCAACCCTAATCACCCCCTAAACCAACACTACGCCCCCCTTTCCAGGCCACCCCTAAACCAGCCAAGGTTTCCCTCTAAAATGTCTTCCTAAAGTTGACCCCCAGGTCTACGACTTCAAGATCCGCCTGCGGGGCTTGTTGTCCGCAACTCCTTGGAGGGAGGTGGAGGACATGGCCATGCAGCACAGCCGCCTGCGCCTTGGTCCAGTGAAAGTAAATGCAGGGATTCAACCACCAACTGGTGCAGGTTTAGAGCCGTCCGAGGGTGCGGGCCCTAAGATGGTCTGAAGCCCCACCAGAAGAGAAGCCCCCTTGCAATCGGCCGGGGCTTTATGAATCTGGGGGTCCCATTACTTGGAAGTTGTTACCCGTGAAACGCGATAGCCCACGAACTTAGGGGGACTTACAAGTGGGTTATCACCTAGGTGATCAACAACTTACTACCTTGGCCGAACATCCAAGTAGCCTTGAGGCTTTGCTGGGGTTGGCGGTCGCTGAATAGAACGCACCATTTGAAGTTAGTTGCGGGTTGGATCTCGGTGGCACTATCCTCCCTCGAATCGACCGGTCATGGCCCCAAAACGTTCACCTCTTGTTTTTGGGTCCCTTCCGGGGCAACTGACCCACATCAATCTAGTGGCTGTTCTTGATGCCGCACTTGTCGACTTTCCTGGCAAAGTGCGAACCAAGCAACGTGGAATCCACGGTGAAATTCGGGGGTTCTCACAATGATTTCTGTTTTCTTTGTGGCGGGTGAAGCCCATTGCCGATTTTTTGCAAATGTCCACCCCGGTTTGGGCCGGCTTCTTGTCCTGTGGGTTGATGGACAACCACCCCGGATCACCGCCAAACCACCGCACCAAGCAGCAAGCCTTGGGTCTTTGGGCGTCTTTGTTCACACCCGGAGGTGCGCTCGGAGCATGCTCCGCATCGAGGTCTTCCAGCAGTTCTGCCTCTGGCACCTGGCGACTTCGCAGGGCAAAATGGTGGTCGAGCTGGAGCCCGAGGAGCTGACGGCCGACGGCCGCGGAGAAAAAAAACGGGCTCGCTGGGTAGGTAGTTTTGGTCTTCCATGTTCTGAAGTGGAAATATTTGTCAGTTTCTCTTGGTTTTGAAAAGGCGATTTCACTACTGGACATATTTTTTGCATTTATCAGGGGTCTGCAGCAAATGGGAGTTGTTGGTCGTTGCTTTTGGGGGCCCCGGATGTTTTGTTTGCCTAGGTTTGGCGGGCCGTGTCTTTAGCTGCTGTTTGCTTTTCTCCGCGCTGGCTTGTTGGCTTTTTTGGTACCGGTGCAAAGAACAGTTCCTTGTTCTGGCATGCCAAGGGTTGAAGCCGGGCACTTAAGGCAATACCTCCTCCCGCCGCTGTTGGGGGTGGGGGGATATCAACAGCTGTGGGCTGGGGGGCCGCGCCACATCCAGCTGTGCCCCCTTTTGACATTCCCAGTTCCCTTGCAGAAGGAACGGGCAAATAGCATGTAAGTCCAGGGGCCGGCCGTCAGGATCCCCCAAATTGGCGACTGGGACCGTGTTAATTCGGGGTGTCCCTCTAATGTTGGCCCCTGATGGTGGGTGTGAAAATCAGGCGTGAACATGAAGTGCATGTGCTTTTGAGTCATGCCAAACTGAAAAAAAATCAACTCTGGCAAAGGCCCTCCACTACGCCAACTTGGAGTGAGGAGTGTGAGATGTCGCACTTGGCGGAGGTCTACCGCGCCACCGCGGCCAACCGCGACTTCTTGGCCTACCAGCTGCTCCCAAGCCTCCGGACGCCGCGCTTTGCACCACCTGCAGCGTCCGTGTTTGTGGGCCCGGTGGTCTTGCAACTTCCCCAGAATTAGCTCCTCCTTTTTGTTCTTCTTCCTTTTTCGGGGTCCTTTTGTTTCCACTGACCAGAGAGGGGAAAAAAAATGCATGGGAGGCTTTTTTAGGGTACTTTTGCTGCGTTTTCCACGAACCAAGGAGAAAAAACCCGATTTTTGCCAGAGGCCGCCCTGCCTGGGCCGCGGTCTGGAGTGGCCCGGCAGGCGGCAGCGGAAGCTGAATAAAGAAATCTCCCTCATGGAGCATTTATTTGGCCTCTTCGGGTGTTCGTTTGTAAGCAAGTAGGGGCCCTTCTTGGCCCCCGTCCTCTTTTTTTTTTTTTTTATGTTCAAGAGGCGGCACAAGTTGCGGCACCTCCCAAAAAGGTCACATGTTTCGACAACATAGGGGAATGTGCTTTTGCAGGGTAGCCATTGTCGCCTCTCCCAAACGAGGCAGTTCCGTTGCCCCTTCCATTTGCTTTTCAGAATAGTTTTTTGTTTTCCCTCGTTGGTTTCAAAAGGAAATTTTCACTACCGGACATATTTTTCAATTTTCATTTTTTTCTCCCAGGGGTCCAAACCAATTGGCTGCTAGTGACGCAGGGGTCCAAACCAAATGGTTCCGCTCATTCCCAGCCGCCTGCCCTGCAGGGGATGGCCATGCTGCGCCAAGCGCTGAAGTTGCGCTCCTCCTGGGCCCTGCGGATCTTCGTGCTGTCAGGATGCGGAGGGCTGGGCGGACTGGCGACATGACATAATCAGGTGCGAGGGGAGGGGTTTTAGGACTTTCGCTTTTTGCCAACTAGTGGGTTTTCCATGAAACCACTGAAAGTTAAGCTTTTAGCAGGGGAGCAGAAAGCAACCTAACCCACCATCCCCAGTATCAGGGAACCTTTTGGAGCTTCAAACTGGACGCCACCCGGACCCCCGTTTTTTCAACTTCTTTGGCCATTTTGGGCGTCCCTTTTTCCACCCACGGCAGGTTTGGGCTGATTTTCTATCGGACTTAAAGCAACATCTTTCACACTTCTGCCCGTTTGGGTTTCCTTGAAGTTTCCTTTTACCCGGCAAAAGTTCACTTTTTACATGGGGTAGTTTCCCTTTCAACTGGCAAAAGTTCATTTTTTTCTGTTACCCCGGGCCTTTTGCCTAGGCAACAGGCGGTCGAGGAGCTTCGAACGGAGGTGTCGCTAGAAGGCGTCAGCTTTGAAGCGGTGCATTTTGAGCGGAGCCCGCAGTTCCAAGCCTACCTGCAGCTCGGCCAGGCGGTTCGCACCCTGCTGCGTTTTTTGTGTTCTTCTTCCTTTTTTTCTCTATGGCTTGTGCTGCGGCGGGTTCTCTCATGTTGACCCCATATTCATCAACCAACCAGTTTATTAATAAGGGGTGGTTTGCGGGATTAGTGTTAGTAGCCGGTGTAGTCCTTTGAAGTTCCAAGCTTCTTTCACGTTTGTTTGTAGTGGCAGCGTTGCAAGGGCATTTGCAAAAAGAAAGAAAACGGATTGTTACATTGTCTGCACACTTGCAAAGGGAATACGATTCACACCCTTTTGTTGTTGTTTCTTTTTCCGACGCAAACTGGTGGCTTGGTCCTACGCGGCGGGTTTTGTGATGAATTCAGATTTTAGTTCCGAAGTAAGGACAAAGTACCCGGCGGAGTGCGTGTTTCAGAATGCTGTCGAGAGGGCAATGTTGGCCCGAGTGCTTTGTCATGAGCTGCTGCTCAGTTCAAGTAGTTAGCAACCTTGTTGGTTGCCTGTCTTCAAGTTGAAGTCTATGCGGCTGCGCGCACGCATGCAAACAAGAGCGAGAGAGAGCGAGAAGTCATACTGTGAGTGGATGAAATCCTGCACCACTTCGAAACCATGGCAAACCATGTTGCAGGAAACCCATCATTCCAGGGTTTCTTAGGCGGTGCGAAATGGATTTCGTCCATCCACAGCATGCAAGTGCACATACAGCTCGCGCACGCGCGCGAACTCTCAGGGCCAGCCACCAGAGACCAGGGAGCGCACATTGCTTTAAATAACCAGGATGCTGGGCAATTTAACTGGCATCATTATTTTACCATGATGATAGCATATCAAAGCACTCCCTCAGTGATGGGTTAAAGGGAAACAACTCATTTTCCGACTTTGACAACCCCTAGAAACAATCAAACAAATGACCCCATTTAAGTGCGTCTGAATTTTCTAGGTCCGAGTTTGGTCTCATTATCATTGAGAGTTGCAATTTCAAGTCGAAGCATGGACCTATACTGAAGCTGTCGGGCCGCATGCCATGTGCACGTGCCGCGCCGTCGGGAAGCTTCTGGCTTCCATTTGTTTTCCAGGGGGGTTAAGCAAATGGAAGCTCGTCATAGGTCAATGGCTCAGATGCCAAATGCAGAGCTATGCCTGAGGCTCATTTGTTCTCACCAAATCCCCGGGCGGGAGACTGCACGAACACATGAAACCCCACACACAAGCACGCACGCGCACGATTCCGCCTTCCAGACTGATTGAATGGCAGAGCTGAGGCTTCCAAACGACATCAGTCACCTGATTTCCATGGATTTGGGTGATGTTTTGATTTTGGAGGATCTCTGGCATCTCTGGGTCCTGCAGGAGGAGTCATCGTCCACATCTTTGCTCCAGGCGTCCCTTGCTGGGGCGCTGCATCACGTGAACGCGGGGGTGGTGCTGTACCACACCGCGCGCATGCGCGAGGCCAACTTTACCGATCTCAGCCTGCAGGCGGCGCACGCGGCCTTTGAGCAGGGCAAGCAGCACGCGGCATCGCTGGAGTGCCCCAGGGACCAGGCGATATTGAACCAGCTGCGCCTTGGATCTTGGAAAGGGCCCGTGCCTCTCTATTCAGCAGAGGGCTGAAGGCGACAAACGAGGGTCTCTCAAGTCTACAAGTGAAAGAAATCGGCCATGGGTCGCCCACGTGGTGGGCCCACGTTGGGGCCCGTTGAGTGAACCCATGGTCGGTGGATGTTGGGCCCCTTGCCCTCTCAAGTCTACAAAGCGAAGCACCGGTTGCCCTCTTTCGAATGGAAGTCTGGGATCTTCGGAGGCCGGGTGTGCTGTTTTTCCAGTTCAGTTAGATTTAAATCAGCTTCCCTCCGATTCGATTGTTGGCTTGGAGTAGTGATGTGGGTGGTTTCCCATTTGCCCTCAAACAACAAGAGTTCAAATTCCTAAACCGCCAATCCAAACCACCAATCAAGGGCAACCTGATTAAGGGGCAGAAGAAGCCGCCAGTTTGGGTCGGAGGCACGAGGACGGCACGGCAGTCATCGGCTTTCTCCCGTGCCGCTGGTCCCTGTTCCCCGTGGTGGACGGCTGGCGGAGAAAGTCGGTTGCTTTTCTTTTTTTTCTCCTTCCGGTTTGGACCCTGCCGTGTTTTGGGATCAGGTTTGCTTGTAGTGTGTTGCCAGGGCATGCTAGAGCTGGTGTTTGCTTGTGTCCTCCTTGTTAAAAGAGGCGGTGGGTCAAAAATAAGATCCCCCAAATGGAACCCTGGTACATGGACACATGGACTAAAACCTGCGGTCCAATTCCTGGTGGCTTAATTTTGACCCATACCCATACCCATGTTCAAAAACAACAAAGGCCCAATGTGCCCCAGGACTGGCACCCCGCCTTCCTTTCGCGCACGGAGACCCGCGCGCTGTGGCGCCCGGAGCTCTTCGAAAGGCTGAGGTACCCGGGGCTTCTTGCCGCGGAGCACGTGGAGTTCCATTGCCCCGAGGCGGGTAGGATAAGGAGCGCGCAAAATGTGTATATACGTATCCGTATGAATTTGTAAACATATACATACAAATATATATTTATATAGATGTATATCTGTATACCTATATACACATATCTACATATATCTACACATCTATACATCTACATACAGAAGCTTATGCTCAAATAAATGGGCGGCTCGTCTTTTTGATGATTCGACCACCAAACAAGTATTTGAAAAACTTGTGGTTTGCCTCATGGTTTCCCTTTGAAGCTACCAATGTCGGGGTACCCTCTCAAAAAACCATACCTTTCCCAAAGTTAGCGGACACGGGGTCTAGATGCGTTTTGATGGCTTGCGCCAAAGCAACAACATGTGTAGCCTCCAGTGCGGTTGTGATCGAAGCCAAACGAGTTGATCACATGGGAGGGCCAAGAAAATCGCCGTCAAGGTCGTCAAATGGTAAGTGCGTCGCTCCTGAACGCTGGCAAAACCATCGCTTCAGAACGCTGAAGCAAAATCGCTTCGGAACGCCGGAAAACGTACTAATCGCTTCGGAACGCTGGAAGTGGAGCCACGTGCCACGCGCAGCACCGAGACGCCGGGACAAGAATCGGCACCCATGCGTCCACGCGCCCACCTGCCCACAGGCCCACGCACTGCTCGCAGCGCTTTTGGCTGTTCGTGCTCGCAGCGGGTCCGTGCGCCCACGCACCGCACTGGGCTGTTCGTGTTTGAAGCGCTGGTTAACGCACCCATGCTTGTGCAGCCACATTGTTACCCGCGGGCCCACGCACTGCTTGCGCCGTCTGCTGACTGTTCACGTTCGTGGCGCGCTCATACGCCCACGCGCGGTTCCCAGGAACCAGATGAATTTGCACATTTGGGTATAGAGCTTCAGCGGGTGTGCTTATCATGCCCCCCCCCCCACCCCACCCCCCACCCCCAGAACCAGATGAATTTGCACATTTGGGTATAGAGCTTCAGCGGGTGTGCTTACATGCCCCCCCCCCCCCCACCCCACCCCCCTGATCCTGATGAATTTGCACATTTGGGGATAGAGCTTTCTGCGGGTGTGCTTATGCCACCCCCCCCACCACCCCCCACCCACAGAACCAGATGGAATTTGCACATTTGGGTGTAGAGCTTCAGCGGGTGTGCTTATCACCCCCCCCCCACCCCCCCAGAACCACTAGATTTTGCACACCTGGGCTGGGACGCCTGCCTGCGTACGGAAGTGATCCTGGGCTGGGACGCCTGCGTTCGGAAGTGATCTTTTTGACTGGCCGGGTTTTGCAACCCTTTCGGCGTTCCGGGTGCTCAGTGTTTTGAAGTGATTTTGTTTTAGTGTTCGGAAGTGATCGAAACTGGCAGCGTTCACAAGTGATTTTTTCAGTGTTCTGAAGTGATTGTCTACCTCGTCAGATGACCAATATCTCGTTGACCGGACCGCTGCAAATGAGTTTTTACTTGGATGTTCGGCCAAGTTAGCCAGTGGTCTTCTGGGTTATTCGCGAATAACGAGGTGAATTCTATTGAACGGGGGACGTACAAGTGGCTCATTACCAGCACCAAACTTGTCCACGAACACCCAACCAGACTTCCAAAAGGCAAACCGAAAGGAAGGCCACATTTATTTATTTATGTATTTATTTATTTATTTATTTATTTGTGTTTTATTCATTTATGATGTATTTATTTGATGTTTTATTTGGTTGGGGGGGCCAAAAGCGTTATTCCCAAGCAGAAACCATTCAACGAGTTGGTCGTGGCGTTGCGGCGTTGCGGTTGTCGTCCGAAGGCAGCGGAGCTCTTGGCAGCCTTTGCCTTCTTGCCCGGCTCGGAGAAGGGCCCCGGCAAGGCCCGCGGCTTTGCTGGGCCCAAGATGGCGTCCGGAAAGCCCCGGCGATTTTTCCCAAAACCGGGAGGGGGTAGGCGGAACAAGAGTCAAGCGAAGGTTTTTTGCTTTGGGGGATCCATTTGGGTGGTTCTTTTCTTTGAGGTTACCCCCTCCCAACAAAATATATCAATTAACAACTTTATTTATATATAAATATGACATATATATATATATATAATAAAATATCAACTAAATGCTGCAAATGTAGCCCCTAATCTCCCTTCTTTGGGGTCGTAAACATCGCTGTGTGACTTGAAGTGGGGCGAGGGGAAGTGGCCGATCCTGGTGGCAGCTTGGCGTTGAAATCAAGAGCAACAAAAAACAACTTCAAATAGCTTAATTTAAATTGGAATGGGACACAAATAGGGTCAAGGGAAGCACCCAAAGGTAACGAAAACAGCTTTGCGGGTTTGTGGGGATGGTGCTCGCCCGGTTTTGTCTGTTGGGACCAGTCGATCGTTGTTGCTCTTGGGTACGCCCGACAATGGTTTCCCTGGGAAAAATGTTTCTGCTTTGGGGGACTTGGTTTGCCCAACCCCCCTCCGTCTGTGTTTCGCGGCTTCGTTTTGCTTGGCTTGGCAACCCACGGTCGTTTGGGGGGAACAAATGCAACTCCAACCAAAGGTTTCTCCCTTTTGTTACGCCCTTGTGGAACGTTTTCAATTGGACATCAAAAATTGCTTTTGTCCCCCTTTTAAAGCTCCTTCTTTTCGGGACGACCTGGGCGAGCTGGTTTTTGGTCCCCGTCCCTCTCCGCCTCCCCAAATCAGCCAGGCTCAGCAGCTGGCGGCGCTGGCGGAGGCGGCGGCGCGGCCCGGAGCGCGGCACGGCTGCGCCTGCGGGGAGCCTTGGGCCAACCGCGCAGGCCGCGGTTTTCGGACACGGGACCCATTTGGGACCCGTATGGCTCACAAGGAAAGGAAGCTGGGGTTACTTACGCGGGTTTTGATCCTTTTTTTTTGCCTCTTCCATTTGCCAAGGTGTCATTTTGGTTCCACTTGTTTGAGCCACATGTAGCTGGCATTGCCAGAAGGCCTCGGACATAGAAGGTGCACCTTTTGGTTGGCAGTTTGGAGCAAAGAGGAGTTGCCATTGCCACATGGGTACCCTTTCAGGTTGATGAAAAGGACAACCAACAATTTTAAGCAAGCCTCAGTTGGGGTGCTTGAAAGCCGTCATCACGTGGCAGTAGGTTTGGAGCACTGCTGCTTGAGAAACCTGAGCCTTGTTGAAGGAAGCGGGTCCCAAATAACGGATGTTTCCCAAAATGCGGGTCCCGTGTGGCAATGGCTTCCTGTCCCTTCAAACTACCAAAAGGGGGTGTGCCAGGCAGTTTCGGGAGGGATCAGCCTCCTAGTCTTGCTGGTTCCCGGCAGGGACTGAGGCACCCCCTGTAACTCGTCCCATGTTGCTTTCGTTTAGGTCTCGAAACGGTTGATCCCAAAGCGCCCTTGTCAGCCTGTTGATTTCCTGGGGATCGGCAGATACTGCCCTACAGCTTGCCCCACACCCCACCATGTTTAGCACCGCAATCTCATTTTGGGGAACGGGCCTCTCTTTCTTTTTGGCAACTCATGTCAATCTGTAGACTGAAAACATATTGTCAGATGCTGTTTCATGTTCGATGCACCGTAACGTTTGTTGATAAACAATGGAGGAGACCCCTTTTCTTGGTGATTCCCAGCCATCCGCTTAGGCTTTTAGGTTTTTTAGTTGGTTCAGTGGTAGTGTCCATCCAGCCTACTACGAGCAACTTTTTCTCGGGGATCAGAAACCGGACAGCCCAGGACTTTTTCGCAGGGGAGCAGCGTGCTTTTTGGGATCTCCAAAAGTGGGCGATTTTGCTGGAGGCCACCAGGTCCTTTGCCACTTTCAAGGAGGAACTCCAGTGACCCCTGCAACCTCAGAGCTTTTTTCTTTTTTTCGGGGGTCAGAAAGCGGACAGCTCTGTTTGTTTGCAACCCCTCTTCACTTTTCGTGGCGACGCCGCAGAGGTTTCGGCCGGCTCTGGCCGCGGAAAAAAAAAAAACAAAAACGGATCCGAGGAGAGGGCGAGCTTGGTGCACGTGGCCGGGGATCTCAAGGCCTGGCCGGCCATGCGGCGGTTCTTGGCGGCGAGGCCAGGCTTGGAGGAGGAGGAAGAGGGCCGCGCGGTTGCCTCCGGCGCAGGCTTTTTTTTTGTTTGCGTGTGATGGTGTGTTTTTCTGTCTGTGTGTGTGTTTGTTGTGCAGTCCTCTATTTCTTTGGTTGTGTGTTTCCTGGCTTTTTCAGCTCTTTGGTTTTGCTTCTTTCAGTTTTCCGCGAGGGGCCCTGGTTCCCGGGCGTTCCTTGCTGAGGCCTTCCGAGCCCCAGCCGGCAGTGGTGGGGCGGAGCCGCGCGGAGCAGCCGGCTCAGGGAGCAGAGCCAGCAGCAGCTCTTCCTCATGGCGAAGCGCCCCGAGGAGAAAAAAGGTCGGAGTCGGGGGTGGGGGGTTGGGGGGGGGGGGGTTGCTCAGTTCATGGGCGCGCTGCATTGCCCTAAAGATGGCAAGGGGAGCACGTGGTGGTTGTTGGGAAACATGTTTTTGTTTTTCTTCTTTTTTTTTTCCTCTAATTTTTGTGTAAATTGTGGTTTCGTGGTTGAAATCTAGCCGCTGAACTGCTGATCTGAAATGTTGTGCTCCCCTTCCAACATCAACCGCGAAAGTTCGGGTGCGCTGCAGGCCCTGAAGGATGGCAAGGGGAACAAGGAAGTTGCCCCTAATTTGCCGTTTGCCATGGATGCGTGGTTGAGACTTGCAATATGTAGGGCGTAAGCCCGAAGTAGTTGCTTCTCTAGTCGCCTAAGTGCACTTTATATTTTCCCCGGTTGGGTTGAAAGGGGACTTATCACTATCGGACATATTGCATTTGTTCAACGAAACTCAAGCAAATGGTGTTGTTTTGGTTTAGAGCAATTGGGGCTTCCTGATACTATAGCTCACTTGTCCATTGGCCTTTTGTTTGTTTTGTTTTTGTTTGGTTCCGAGGGCATAACCATTGTTTCCAGGGCTTGAGGATGCTGCCCCTATTTGTCTGTCTGGCTTTTTTTGGGGGGGTTTGGTTGGTGGTGCAATATGGGATCGCAACATCCGTGGCTCTCCCGGAGCTTGTGGACTTGCAGCAAGCAGAAAGTTTGGAGGCTTGGCCAATGCGCTCAAGGAAGTGAGAGGCTGGCGACCAAGGGAACCTTTCAAGAGACTTGACAGACAAATGTATGCATCAGGTTTTGTGTCCTGCATTTTGCCTGCCAGCAAAAGCAGGTCCTGGGTCGGAAAAATAGCCAGCCCCACTGCCCGGCTCTAAAAACTGCTCGTGCCCCTACACAGTCGTGAGGTTCATGACTTTTGAAGGCTCATCATGGAGGGTCTACAAGCCCAGGAACGCCTGGGAGAAGCGCTAAGGGCCCCCTACCAAGGCCACGACCCCACCCCCCAACCCCCCATAGATCAGGGGCCTGGGGGGGGGGAAGGGCCAAATCAGCCCTTCAGGCCGGCCTCATGGGCTTAGGTGGGCTCCCCCCAGGCTGAAATGCGGGTTTCGGGGACCTCTTCCCAGGCAGCAGGGCCTGGACTACGTGACGCAGGTGGGCGCGTCCTGGTGCCACACGATGTGGACCACGCCGCGGGTTTACCACGCCGCCCGCTTGGAGGTGACGAAAGCGGACCAGTCGCTTGCCTCCGATCTCAACCGGGCGGTTCTGTATGGAGACCTGGAGTCTACTTGGGGGTGGAGTTCCTTTTTTTTCGGGGACCTTTGTTTTTGCGTACGCCGTTGGAACCGGCGCTGGAGTTTTGAGCCGTTTTTGACACTTTTGCATGAATCACTTGGTTTTTCCTTGCATTTCAGATAAGCATCCATGTCTGGTAAGCATCCATGTCTGGTAAGCGTTCACTGCTTTGATCCGGGCTCAGAGTCTTAAGCAGGCTGTCGAATTTTCCAGGTTTTCCATGGAAGTGCCATGCACGCCGCAGAAGCGCCGCAAAACTGCGGCCGAGTCTCCGTTGTCCGTTCGATCAGATGCCATGAGCCTGTTTTTTCATGGCAATGGCGCATGAACGCAGGCAAGGATCTGTGGGCTGCGTTGCCATCTTTAAACCAGAAAGCATGAACAAAAGCGCCGCCCTCAGTGCTGGGGAGGGTTTGTTTCTAGGCCGCCGCTTGAATCTGCCTTGATGTTTTTTGCACTTACACATTCTTTCAGAACGTGCCAAAAACCTCAACGTGCCAAAAACCTCAACGCCGGTTCGCGCGGCGAAGCCTTGTTTTTGGTGGTTTCAACTGGAAGCCAAGAGGCAAACCAACCATTTTGTGAGCACCCCAAAAAATGAGAGAGACCCGATGTTGCTAACCACCTTTTTTAGGGTATTGGTTTAAATTTGTCAAAATCGTTGAGAATCATCTCGAAGTGCCCATGGAGTGCCCCCCCCCACCCCAAAAATATATGTTGGTTCCTGTCCTTTGGCTTCTGCTCCCACTGCGGATCTGCTGCCTGGGCGGTTGAGTGTGGCTTCCATGTCACTTCGGCGTCTCCTCTCGGAACTGGCTTGTCCCATGCCACATCCGCGGGTCCGGGTCAAAGGGGCTGGAAGGCTGTTGACAAATCTTTCGCGGTGTCTGAAGGTTCCCCTTTGTCGCGGCTGTTCAAAGGTGATCCTTAATCCTTACCTTGGGAAACGCAAGGAGCCGGTCCCCTTGGCAGTGGCTTCCCTAATGGGAATTCGGATAGGCCAAGCCTCCATTTTGAACAGCCCAGTTTTTTTTCTTGTCTCAAAGGACAACCTAAAGGAAACCCGGTCCCCTATGGTTTTAGACACACCCCCTGAAGGCTCTTCGCCTAGCGTCCTCGGGCTGTCGCTTCATGTGCCCAGGTTGGAGATCGAAACCACCGCCGCGCGGCTCCGCGTGCGGCTGACGCCGCTGACGCCTACGGCCTCGGCTGCGCTGGAGGTGACTTTGCGCACCGCAGACCTCACGCTGGACGTGGCGTCTGACGGAGACGCGGCCGGAAGGCATCGCCTGAGTTGGAGCGCGTGCCTGGAGCGGGAGTGGGTACTGACAAGGTGGGGCCACAAAACGGCGTGTTTTTTTTTTTGGGGGGGGGGGGCGGGTGCGCCTTTGAGTTGCTCCCAGTTTTGGTGCCTTTTTGGCCCATTTCAGCGGCTTCCCGGAAATGTGTGCTCCAGTTCCCCATTTATGTTGGCCGCCCTTTCTTCCTGGTGGTTGTTGGGAAACATTTTGAATTTTTGCTTATGGTGGTGTAGTGGGAAATCTCCACTGAAGGGAAATCCCCACTGACCTGCTAAGATGTAATTTTGCTCCCCTTCCAACGTCAACCTAGTTTTGGGTTGACATCTCCCCCCGGCTCGAAAGTTGGTGAAGTTAGGTGGCGGCTGTCCGCTTCGCTTGTGGAGCTCTGTGGTGCCTCGCTGCACCTCAACGCATCGCTCGGCTTCCCCTTGGGTTTGTGGGTGGCCAGCGAGAGCGAGTCCGCACGCTGGGCCGTTTGCGTGAAAAGGTGAGGCTCAGGGAAATGTTGGGTCGAAGTCTTGGGGTCCATCTGCTTCTAGGTCTCCCAGTAGTGCCCTTTTACCCTTTCGTGGGGGGTTCCCCTACTAAAATAGACTATAGATAAAAGGGCACCCTCGTTCTAACCTCTCTACTGGATGACCTAGGCTTACTAATCTCTTGACGCTGATGGGCTTCTCCCAGGCTTGTAGAAAGCCCTTGCGTCTACCCTGGGCTTACAGATGCTTCTGCTGGCATCGCGCCCCAAGAACTCGCACCCGAACCACGACCCCCAAAAGATTCAAAAGATCCTTCCGAACTCCGAACAGGCCCAAGGTGACCAGAGACCACCCTGCTGGCTTGCCTTCCTATGGCGTTTCCAGGTCGGGGTTGCAGGGGTTGCAGAACCTTGGGGGAAAAACCGAAAAAACGGCCGCGTGGCTGCCAAGTTCGCGGACTGTTGGGCTGCCTCGTAGTTGTTCACCTCCTGCCGTCCTTTGACAGCTCAAGCACCCTCACCGGGTGCTGTTGCAAGATAGCCTTTGAGCCCCCCGTGCAAATCGCACGGGTTTCGATACCGATCCTACATGTCAACGGGCAAACCCGAGAACGTTACACCTGGAGCTCCACCGAAGCTCACTGGCCCAAAGCGAATTCAATTTTTGACCTTTGTTTTTTTCTTCATGTTCTTTTTTGCTTTTGTTTAGTCATGGCCATCATGGCCCCCCAAAAACGTGAGCACCTCCACTCATTTCTGGGTCCCATCCAAAGCGACTGAGGAAGTGGGCGCGCCATCTTCTGGTGCTGCTGGGCATCGTTTTGCTGGTCTTCGTCTTTGACTCCTTGGTCTTTGGCTCGGTTCCACTGAGCCTGAAGCAGTTCCAGTGGAGCGCCTGCGACTTGGTCATCAGCTTCCTCCTGGGCGCGTGCGCGCTGCAGGCATACCTCCTCAAACGAAAGTCGCCAGAGGCCAGGACAGAGAAAGAGGAGAAGGAGAACGGCAATGGGAAGCCGCCGGCCAAAACGATGAGCAACATCAACAGGGAGCTGGACCGAGTGTCGCAGCAGGGGGCGAAGCAGGTGGAGGCGCAAGGGCGCCAGGTGTTCAAGCGAACGTGTTGTGCAAAGCCGGATGGCTCGCACTTGAAACGCCAACCGAACGGGGGTTTCCCAGTTTCGTTGCCTTTCCACAACGGCACAAAATACATCAACCACCCCCCTGAGTCCCCTCCAACCTCCCCCACTTGAAGGGCTCCAAATAAGATACTTGACTGTCTGACCACCAAGAACAACGTTTTCTTCACCAGACCCAAAGGAAATCATCATTGCATAATTGCACATTGTGCTTGTTTTTTGCACAGTCCCCGGACCGATTCACAAAGTTCATGGAGTTAGCCCGTTTCGCCCCAGGCTTTTCCCCGCATTTTCCCAGGCCGTCCTCCGCAAGTTTGAGGGTGTGCCAGGGGCCCTGGATGCCTTGAGCTGCTCTGCTCAACTTTCGGCCCCGGCATTTGCCTGGGATGGCTGGGCTTGCCAGTTACCCAGATACAGCACTATTCTTGGATGTTCGAACGGGTGGCAAGTCCTTGGTTACCTACCTTTTCCAGGTAAATATCCATTTGCTTTTTCGACGACTGGTTGCTTCTTCTTTTTTGTTTGCTTCCCGTTCACGGCTGGGAATCCTGGGCGCTTTTTTGCCATTCGTATCCGGGTCCTTGGCTTGACCTTCTGTTTCCTGCTGGTGCTACCAGCTGGAAGCTACAGGAATTTCTACCGGAACTTGGGCAAACACTTGCCAAAACACACAAATGGGTTTCCACCGAGAAGGTGTAGAAAGAACCTGTGACCCTGAACTTGATTTTTTCCAGGTAACCCCGAATTGGTGGTTTGGATGGGTGGTTTGGGGGTTTAAACCGCCCCGCCTTAATCAAGCCATCAATCCAACCCACGAATTCTCATTTCCTGAGCTCCATTTTAGTGGAAACCACAAAGTTCAGACTTCGTTTGGGGCCATCCACACAAAAATGAAAAACTTGCTGGTGACATAGGAGTGGAAACCACACAGTTCAGACTTCGTTTGGGGCATTCCCATTCCACGCAGAAATTGAGAAACTTGCTGGTGCTCAGTTGGTAGCAAATGTAGCAATGAACCCAGGGTTTTTTTCTTGAGGGAAAGCACCAGTTGGATGTTTTATCGGTGTCATTCCTCATTCCCTGCTGAGAACCAGCAAGGGAATTGTGTGTTTTTTTTTTTTGGGGGGGGGGGGACGTTTTTTTTTTTTTTCTGGGCAATCCTCACAGGGAGTGAGACATTGGATTTTGGCTGGCGAAAAACCTCTCTGAGACTCTGAGGCTACAATCTGGTGATCCGCGCGCACGCCAAGGAGGGCAACCACAAGCGAGCCGGGGAGTGGATCATGCGCATGGAGGCGCGGGGTGTTGGGGTGTTGCTCGTTGCTCGGCGGCTCTCAAAAGAAGAGGCCAATCCCTCCCCAAGTTCTTGGGGGTTCTTAGGGTTTTTGGTTTTTGGGTTTCAGTGGGGGTTTCCATTTGACACACAAAGCTAAACTTTTAGGGGATCAGGCTAGAATTGGTGGTTTTCAACTTGAGGTTTCCCCTTTGAAACAAGCGACAAGGCTACCCTCCAGAAAGCATACGCCCTTTTGGTCGGATCTTTAGCATTTGATTCTATTGTACAGGCATGTTCCCCAACCAGCCAAAGTTCACAACTTGCTGAAGGGCCAATCGCCAGCAAGTGTGCCGACCTCTTGCGGTAGGCCATGAAGGCAAATCTGAAGGTTTGCTTTGACCAGGACCCGGGGCTGTTTGTCCTTTTGGCCTTGCCTTGTTGAACTCCCTTTTTTCCGTGGGTCCGAAAGGCGATTCACTTTAAAGCTAAGTCCTGGGCCCCTTTTCCGGAGACCCCCTCCCCCTCAGCCGCCCGGGTTCAGCCGCCAGGAGCGGGGCATCAAGGCCACGGTTTCTTCATTGCTCTTGGCAAGTTGTGTCTTGTTTTGTTGTTGGTTCTGCTGAAGTGGTTTTGTGTTTGTTGTTGTTTTATTTGTCGGTTCTGTTCATTTTATAGGTTTTTGGGGTCAAAAATGGGTACCCAACATGGAACCCTGGATGGAAACAAAGACCAAAACCGCGCAGCCCTAGCTCTTTATTTTTGAGCCACGCCCATTTAGGTTGGGGAGCCCGTTTTTTTTTGCCCAGGCCATGGCCCGCTTGGGAACCGAGGTCTGCAGCTACAACACCCAGCTGGACGCCTGCGCCAAGGCGCAGAACGCCGAGGCCTGCGAGCGCTGGCTGCAGCGCATGCTGGACCAGGCGCAGATTTTTGTTTTTGTTTTTTCCTTGTCTGCGACTTCGGCCTTCATACTGTGGATGGACATGGTTGAAACCATTGTTTGTTGGTATTTACAGGTGAATCATCATTCCAGGGTTTCTCAGGTGGTGCAGGATTTCGTCCACCCACAGTACCATGGTGGTTGTTGGGAAACATTTTGCATGTTTGCTTATTGTGGTTTAGTGGCTGAAATCCAACCACTTAACTGCTAACAGTTTAAATTTTTGCTCCCCTTCCAACGTCAACCAAGATACTGTGGATGGACGAAATCCGTTGGTACCATCTGAGAAACATGAGGATTCCCCGACGTAAATAGCAACCAACCTTATGATTTCAACCATGGTTTCCAAGCTGTGCGAAATGGTCTTCGTCCGACAGCGTATGGGTGTGTCGTTTTTGTTGTTTGTTTTTTTTTGGGGGGGGGGCTCCCATAAAATGGTGGGCGTTCCTTTTGATTGCCCTTCAAAACCACAAAAAAAGGGGCTTGAACCCATACGAAGTCCGGGCATGAGCCACTGGTCCATTGGTTAATTCCCCCCATGGCAAACGAGTCCCCAAACAAAATTTCATGGAACCTGCAAACATGTATTCTTTTGTGGCTTCCGAAGGAAAAGGCAATTGCCCAAAACTTGTGCCGACCAAGAGGTCCCTCTGGTCCCCCTCACATCCAGGCTGCTGTTGGGCGGGTTTAGGGTTGACTTTGAGTGGGTTTGGGTTGGCTTGGTGTGGTTAAGTGAGTTTTGGTCTCGTTTAGGATTGTTTTTGGGGGCGTGGCCCCCAACCACCAAAACTCGCCCACAACTCACTTTAACCACACCCCAAAGCAACCCTAAAGCCGCTAAACCAGCAGCACACCTTTCGCAAAACACACATCCCGTGGAATCAAGGGAACCCACCATTTACAAGGCAATGTTCAGGTGTATAATGCAATGCAAGGATCCCTGTTAAGCTTTAACGCCATTTGGATCGTTCGCCTTTCAGCTTTGGACCCTAAGGTTTGGTTTTTCCGCCTCTTCCACCTCTTCCACCTGCTGGTCCCCCCTTTTTCTTTTTTTTGCTTCTTGCACTCCGCAAAAGCCGCAGAAGCCGGACCGTTTTCTGGAAGCCGCCCGGCATTCGGACTTGCGCTGTTTTAAGGGAGTTTTGTGAAACCTTTCTACGTTGACCCGTGCCCATGCCGAACTTCTTGCTGGTGAAACCCAGTCCGCGGGTGGAACGAGCGCTGCCCGAAGAGGACCTCCAGCCCAACGTCATCAGCTTCGCGACGGTGATCCACGTCTTCGCGCGGCGCGGGGATGCCGAAAGGGCGCGGAGGCACGGGGCCAGGGCTTTTCGATCCGTCGGGGGGTGACACGGTTGTTGTTGGGAAGCAATTTGCATTTTTGCTTGTTGTGGTGCCGTGGGACGTCCCCACTTGACTGCTAAAGTTTACATTGTTGCTCCCCTTGCAACGTCAACCAAGGTGATCCCACGGAATTCGTTCGGCCGGTTTTGTGGCGGAGTCGAAGTCGCACGGTGTGTCTTGAGTTGCCCGAAGTGGCAGTGCTTGGGAGCCGAGGATTTGGACGCTTTCCTGTTTGCCCTGTGGTTTCAGTTGGGGGGTTGATTAAAAGTTCCTAAATCACTCGAAGTATTATATGTGGACAAGCCCACGATCATTTGCGGCAAAAGCGTGCAGGGTCCAACCTTGTGGCTACCAAACGGAAGCCCTGCGGCAAGTTTAGGCAACAGGTGAGGGGCATGAGGGGCCTGCCTATTTTTTCTCACCAAGGGCCCGGGCTCGACCATGTTCCTCAAAGCAGGTTTGTCTCAAATTTTGGCGGAGCCCCAAGATGGTTGGTTTCCTCTTGGTTTTGCTTGAAGCCAGCACATTCAACCTCGTAAAATGATGCCCAGCTTCCGTTCGGTGTCAAGTCCTAGGTCCCCCAGTAGTGTCCTTTCACCCTTTCTTGAGGGAGAGTTCCCCTCCTAAAGTAGACTACAGAAAAAAGGGTACCCTTATTCTAACCTCTCTACTGGAGGACCTAGAGCCTCAAACAGGACACAACACAGTCTGGGCACTTGCTGCAAACTAGAAAATAAACCTGTTGTGTGTGGCGTGTGTCCCATCAGCAGTTTCCTGATGGGAATTGAATCTATAGATCCAATGTACGGCAAATTGGATGGTTGGGGGTGGTGCCGACTCCATCCCTCAGTCCTAGAAAAATCCTTGTCCCATGGAAGAGGGACCCACATGGGACCCAGTTTTTCCCCAAACTGATGGGTGAGGGGTCGAACAACGAACGGGTCCTCTTGTCCCCACAACCTCTATATTTCCAGACGCATCCCCCAAGAGGAAACCAATTCACGTCTGCTTGGCACAAAGTGCGGTTTCAACTGTGCTTCAACAAGCACTTTTTCCCTGCCTTACAGGATCCCTTGGTAAAAGCGGGTCGTTTTTGATGCATCTTCTGTTGTTTTTGTAGCATTCACTCGGGCCCCAATTTAGGCTGAGCCCAAGACTCGCTTTCGGCGGCGCCGCGGCGGGGTCTCGACGTCCGGTCTCGTCGAGGTGGCAGCAGCGGATGGTGGCCATGGGCGTGGAGCCGGACACGGTGAGCTACAACTCCCTGATCCTTTGCTGAGAAGTTTTTTTTTATTTTTATTTTTTGGGGGGGGACACTGGAAGCTGATTTTGGCTGGTGGGTCCACACCTCAGTTGTTCAGTGGCACCAATTCGTTGTCCTTTTTTTTTAGTGACTGCCCTCTTCCCCAGCTAATGGGTTTTCCGAATTAAACCACCAAAAGTTAAAAACTTTCGGCAGGGGAGCAGAAAGCAACCGAGGATCCACGCCTGCGGCGTGCGGCCCGGAGTTCAAGCGATGCGTTGGGATGCGCGGGGCTCGTCGCTTTTTTTTTGGTTGTGTTGGAGTGTGGAGTCGTCGCCTTTGTTTTTTTGTTGGAGTCGGTGGGTCGCCCCGCTTTTTTAGCTTGAAGAGGGAGCCTTAGGTAACCCCAAAAAAGGTGGGTATTGGTGGTTCGGGATTTGAAGCCTTGGTGTTTGTAGAGATGGGAACCGCTCGGGAAGACCGCCAAACCACCGATTCGGCTCCACACCACGAATTAAAGGGAAGCTGAGAACCCAAAGGAAAATAATGCAGACTTAGTTGGGGGCACCCGGAAGTTACTCACTTGGCCCGCTTTCCCACATGGGCGCCGGAACGCTCCCCACCACCCCGCTGGGGTCGCTCTGAAAGCCAGAAGAAGGATCCTCCTCAAAAGAAGCATGAGGTGTCCCTTTTGGTTTTCCTCTCATGGTTTCTCTTCGGTCTCCGTGTAAAACAGGCTTTCCCTCGCAAATGATCTGTGCGGGGGATGCCCCAAAAAGAGACCTATTCCTACGCTCAACCAATTCAGGGCACTCGTTTTGGGGTACAATCCCACCTGATCATACGGTATGAGAGGTTTTCTTGAGAAAGTTGAAAGGGAGTTTTGGCCAAGTGGAAGGTTCCAGAAAGGGATTTGCGTAGTTGGTTGGGTGTGTCTTTTTAAGGTTGGTCGCAGCAAAATGGTGGTTGTCCTTCCGATATTCTTTAAAACCACAAACAAACAGGTACCCTCAAAGATTGTTTGTCCTTGTAGTATCTCGAGCTGGTTATTTTGGAATCCGTGGCGATTTTGAAGTGACGCCGCTGGGAGCTTAGGATCTATGCATCCCATTGCTTTGAACAGAATTCAAGCATGCCGCCAACCCACCCAACCACGCAACCACGCAGCCAAGCAAACGGGGAACCAACCAAGCAACAGCCAACCAAGCAACCAACCAAGCAACCATCCATCCCATCCATCCATCCATCCAACCTGTTCAACCTCTTCAACCAACCAATTGACAGACCAGACTAGACCAGGCCAGGGCAGGCCAGACCCAATCCCAACTTTAGCTTTTTTAGTCGGTTGAGTGGTTGGGTTTCCATTGAACCCACAAGTTAAACATAATTTTAGCCGGGGATCAGAAAACGGACTGCCCAGCCAGCTGCATGGTCCACTTCTCTGCTTCTCCGCTTCACCAGGAAGGGCAACCTTGAGGAGGCGGAGGCGTGGATGGAGGAGATGCAGCAGAAGGCCACGCGCGACTTTTGTTTTTGCCCCGCTTAGCAGCCATGATGCACGAAATCCTGCCATTGTTGGTTGGTATTTACAGGGGAATCATCATTCCAGGGTTTCTTAGGTGGTGCAGGATTTCGTCCATCCACAGTAGGTCCCCGTTGTGGCTTGGTTTTTGAATCTGAAGGTTGATGGATTCCTCCCGTGTTGGTTCTTGATTTAATGGATGGGTTCGTGCCTTCTTTTTAAAAGAAATGCAGCACATGCAAAAAGCAAGAGCTCGACTAACAAGCAGTATGGGCCTAGAAAGGGCAAGAAGAACGCTGGTTGTCCCTTTGTTTCCCGATCGCGGGGACCCTGCAGAAAGGACGGCTTATCGGGATCCATGTGAATTTGTAGCGTCTGACCCATGGTATGTTGCCTCGGCTGAAGCCCTGCAACTCGGTTGAAACCATAACCTTCGTTAACATGTACGTTGGAGAATCGAATCAGATTCCAGGGTTTCTGAACGGTGGCGCGAACGGATTTCGTCCATCCACGGTATCTTCCCACAGCTTCCTGATAGGGAGGTTTGTTGAAACCGCCAGCTTGCACTTCTGGGTTTGAAGGCAGGTTACTCAGCAAGTTCGCAGCCCTCATAAGTAATGTCCCTTGTGTGGATCATCCCGCGGACGAATTGCCAATCTCTTGCCAAGTAGCCTGCCCCCACAAAGGTAACAAAACCACAGTGGCCCTTTGAAGGAGCGCTGGTGGCTTCTCGTCGGCGGGTGTGTTCGATGTGATCGAAGTCAACAGCCTCCCGCAAAGAGCTACCCCGGGTTAAAGGGATACGCAGCCACTACACAACCCGCTATACAGCTTGATTGCTATTGGGCTGGGTTCTTTATTGTTTGGGGGGGAAATCAAGCGTTCTCCATTGAACCGACAGAAGGTGACAATGTTGCAGAGGGGCTGTTCAGCAACCAACATAAAGGGCATAATTAATAGTTGTACCCGTTTTTTTGTTGCAGCTGCAAACTTGCCTTGAGAGTGGTGAGTAAACCTTGGCTTGAACCAGGTTGCTCCCCCTGTTTTTTCTCGATTATTCTAAGGGGTGTAACTCATGAAACCTCGGGATCATAAATCACACATTGACATAACTGCAACCTTGGCAGAAGGCAAGCAACCGACTTGGTTAAAAAAAAAAACGGCCATCGGGATACTCATGGTTTCTTGGGATACTGAATGCAGCCTTATTAAGTCCACTCTGGGGCTATACTCCGAATTTCGTTCTAACAAAGGGGGGGAGAAATCCGGTTGAGCCCATGGCAGGCCTTCCCAGATGCGCGATTCGTGTTTCCGCCTTGCACGCTCGCGGCATGGAGTCGAGGGGCTGGAGCCCAGTGTCACCACCTTCGGCGCTCTGATCGACGCCGCGGCGAAGGCTGGGGACTTGGACAAGGCGGAGCTCTGGATGCGAGACATGCTGCGCCGAGGCCGGGCGCCTTGGGGCCTTGGGGCGGCGGGTGGCTGGGGTGGCTGGGGTGTTCGGCCAGGTTCGCAAGTGGCTACTCTTTTTACAAGGAGACTAAGTGCACTTGGAAGTCTTGTAAGTAGGTTATATGACCCAAGTTATTAACAACTTGCTAACTGGGTTGAACGGCCAAGAGGGGAGCTTGCGTTTCGGTAGCGAAAAAGGCGCTGAGATGCCTTTCAATAAGGTCCTGACGCAGGCGACAAGGAGTTTCTTTGGAGGTGCGAAATGGATTTCGTCCATCCACGGTATGCTTCCATTTGCTTAAGAACATGTTATATTTCCCTTGTTGGTTTTAAAGGGAATCTATCACTACTGGACATATATATTATTATTTTTCTCCCAGGGGTCTTATATGGTTGGTTTCCCTTAGAAGCCATGCCCCAAAATCCAGGGGAAAACGTAAAAAGAGAGATGGCCTTCCCAGTAAATGGGAGAAGTTCGCCATGGTCGCTTGGGGGTAGGAATGTTGATCAACCGCCATATCAGGCGTTGGGACAGCGAGTGAAGAGACAAAGTATGAGGTTTTTGTTGGGAGGGAGGTGAGTGGTTGGGGCTCGTGGTGTACGTAAATGTCCCCCCCCCCCACCGAGGGGTAAATGTCACCCCCCCAAAAAAAAACACACACACACACAAAGCAAAGCAAACAAACAAACAAACAAACAATCAAACAAACAACAAACAAACACATTAAGCAACAAAATGCATGTTTCACCCCCCCAACAAACAAAACAAACAAAATAAACACATAAGAAGAACAACAAAAGAATCAAAAACAAAGACATGAAAAAAGAAACACCAACAATCGACGACATGTCAACCCCCTCCCCCCTTTTTCGCCAAGGAAGCAAACGAGAAGAACCAAAAAAGCAGCAACACCTCCCCCTCCAATGGTCCAAGGGGCTGGTGAGGCATCGAGCCCTCGGTGGTGTCCTTCGGCGCGGTGATGAACGCCTGCGCCAAGGCCAGCAGCTTGGAGCGGGCGGAGTTCTGGCACCAGGAGATGATCGAGGCCAAGGTGAAGCACCTGGGACCTCTGAAGCGGAGAGGGGGGAGAGGGGGAGAGGGTTTTTTTGGTGGTTTTATATTTTGTGTTTTGTTTTGTGGGGGGGGTTGGGGGTGGGGGGGTGGGGGGGTGGGGGGTGAGGGGTTCACGGCCCATCTCTCTCTCTCTCTCTCTCTCTCTCTCTCTCTCTCTCTTTCTCTCTCTTTTTTTTCTTCTCTCTCTCTCTCTCTTTTCGTGTTTTGCTTTGCTTTTTTTGTGGGGGCTGGGTTGTGGGGGGGTACCCAGGCCTCGCTTGTGTTTTTGGGGACGGGTAGTCAGGTCTCACTTTCTGTTTCTTTCTCTGTTTTGGGTCGGGGAGCGGGGTGAACAAGGAAGCTCCCCTCAAATTGGCAACCCTCAAATCGTGGTGTTGAAAGCCATTTTGGACACATACCGTTCATGAATAACATCTACTTCACACTGGTTGGGATGGAAGCCCTATGAATACTGGTCCAAAAACAAAAGAGAAACCGACTTGTGTCGGTTGGCGTCGATTTTCTCCAACAGGGACCCCTTCTGAGAATCTGCAAAAAGAGGTTGATGTAGTGAAGGCCCGCAGGCTGTGGCAGGGGTTGGGTCCGATAGTCCGATGGAATTCCCCTGGAAGAATCCCAACAGAACACTTTGGCTGGAGGAAAGGCAACTTTGAAGCGAGATGTCACACTGTGGATGGTTGCGAAATCCGCTTCTCGCACCGCCTAAGAGACCCTGGAATGATTGATTCACCTGTAAAACAAACCTTATGGTTTCAACCATGGTTGCCAAGTGGTGCGAAAGGGATTTTGTCCATCCACAGTAGGGAGGCTCTTGGAACTCCGGAGTCGGAGAGTCCGGGCATGGCCCCCGCTAAAGGGGGGTGTCAAATGGCAAAACTCATCGAATTACTCCCTTACCAATCCACATGGAACCCACCACGCCCACATTTTGTAGAGGCAACTTTTGGGGGACCCCCTTGGTTGGGTTCCCCCCCACCTGTTTGTGGGGTGTTTAATTTTTGTTGAGCAAGATGGTACATCGTTATTGCTCACCACAAGAATCAAGTGATGATGGCAGCACTCTAACCCCGAATGGAAGCCCTGAGGCCCAATGTGAGATGCTACGGTGCCATCATCAACGCTTGCGCAAAGGCCGGGGAGGGGTCACAACGGGGGCGACATCCCCATCCAGCAGCTCTGGGCCCTGTCCAAGGTGGCACTTGCCCCCATTTGCTGAAACGAAGATCATTTTTTATTTCCCAGGTTGGTTTTAATGGGAATCTATTTCACTACTGGACATATTTTCTCATTTTTCCCAGGGGGAGAAGAAGCAAATGGACATTTGCCCAACGCAGGAGGTGCCCAACCAGAAGGCCACCAAATCCCAGGAGAACCTTGCGAAATGCTCCAGCGCTGCTTCTTTTCTAAAATAGACTACGGAAAAAAGTTGGTACCCTTATTCTAACCTCTACTAGAAGACCTAGCAGTAGTTTCTGGTTCAACTTGGGGCCAGATGCTTCATTTTGTCCGCCTCCCCCGGCTTTTCAAAATCCCAACCCAAGGGCAGTACGTACCTCTTAGCCTCTTATGTAAGTGGTACTGTGGGTGGACGAAATCCATTTCGCACTACCTAAGGAAACCCTGAAATTGTGATTACCCATCATAAATGCCCAAGTGGTGCGTCTAATGGATTTCACGACCATCCACAGTATGCCTAGCCCTCCATACCTCCAAACCACCTCGCCCTGAAAATCCAGAAAACTTTTTGGATGCGCTTTTTGTGGATTTCACTTGTTCTTCCCCCTCTAGGTTCTTTTTTAGTGCTCTTTTAGTAATCTTCTAATATCCTAGAGGGGTGGTGTCCGCAGACTCGCCACCTCCAAACCGTTCTCTCGAGAAAATTCCAACAATGCGGTTTAGTGGGTTTAGTGGGGATTGGTGGGGATTCATCACTCTCGGAGGGGAACAGCCCCAAAATAATTGAAGCTGATTACCCCTGAAAAAAAACCAATGCTGATGAATTCCCACTATCTTGCCTGGAGTTGATTGATACTGTATTTCGTACCACCTAAGAACCCTGGAATGATGATTCACCTGTAAATGCCAACAAACCTCATGGTTTCAACCATGGTTCTCAAGTGGTGCGAAACGGATTTCACCCATCCACAGTATGGGTTCGACCCCTACCCCGCAACCCCCTGAAAAAGTCCAATCCTGATGAATTCCCACTAATCCCAGGGACACCGCAAGGGTTGATTAATATGAGGGTTTAGTGGGGAATAATCCCCACTCTTGGAGGGGAACGCCGCATAAAAAGCTGGAGTTGATGAATATGGGGTCGACAGTACCCCCTAACCCCCCCCCCCCCCCCCCGGGGGAAAAAAAAACACAAGCCTGATGAATTCCCACTAAATCGAGGGACACCGCGACTTGACAAACAGGGGTTGCTTTATATGAGGGTTTAGTGCGGAATAAACCCTCTTGGAGCCCCATAACCAAAGTGGAGTTGATGAATATGCCCCCAACCCCCCCTTTCCCGGGGAGAAAAAACAATCCTGATGAATTCCTAATTGATGAACAGGGGTTGATTTATATGAGGGTTTAGTCGGGAATACCCCCCCCCTGGAGGGGAACACCGCATAAAAAGCTGGAGTTGATGAATATGGGGTCGACAGTACCCCCTAACCCCCCTCCCCCCCCCCGGGGAAAAAAAACACAAGCCTGATGAATTCCCACTAAATCGAGGGACACCGCGACTTGACAAACAGGGGTTGATTTATATGAGGGTTTAGTGGGGAGTAAACCCCACTCTTGGAGGGGAACACCCCCATAAACAAACTGGAGTTGATCAAATTTGGGGTCGACCTTACCCCCGAACCCCCTCCCCCCCTCCCTTCCCCCCCCCCCCTCCCCTTCGGGTTGACAGTATCCCCAACCCCCCCCCGAAAAAGGAAACACAAATAGAAAAACAAAAAAAGAAAAGAACAAGAAGGAACAAACAAAATAAAGAGCACAAGAAAGGAAAGAAAGAAACACGATGCGGAGGTGGGCCAGGCCGAGCGGGCGGAGAAGTGGCTGCTGCAGCTGGAGGCCAGTGGCCTGCGGGGCGACGCCATCGTCTACAGCTCCGTGATCGACGCCTGCGGCAAGGCCCGGTGGGGGGGGGGGGCGGAAGCGGGGGGTGGTGTTGGGGGGGGTTGGGGGGGGTTTGCGGTGTTGTGGTGGGGGGGGTGTTGTGGTGGGGCGGGTGTCGTGGGTGGGTGTCGTAGGTGGGTCGTGAATGAAAAAAAAAATCGTAATGTGGTGGGTGGGGTGTCGTGGGCGGTGGGGGTGGGGGGTGGGGGTGGGGGGTGTTTTGGGGGGGGGGGGGTGTGAGTCCCACTGCCGGGGGCATCTTATCCGCGAAGGGAACCGATACCTTGTGGTAGTAGAGGATCTTTATTTGGCAATCTGTTCCGGAGAGTCGAAGTGTCAATCCAAGTGTCAATACTGATGGATTGATACTGGATTAGCCCTGGTAGATTGTGTATATTGTGGATTACTCTGAAAGTGGTCCGCTGTCGTTCCTTTGTATCACGGAGGCAAGTGCATTTCAACTAGCAAACGGTTTAGCCTCCCTCCCGCGAATTTAGCATTTGTGGGCAGGTGCCTGGAAGACGCCACCTCAAAAGTGGTTGGTGGACATGAGTCCGCACCAAAAAACCCCAAATTCCCCTTAAGGAAGCCAACAAGTGAGAAATCAAGTTAGATCTTAGGCTGGGGAGGGCCTCTCTGGGAGCGTGTCCAAGAACTGGGTCATTGTTTTGTTATCAAAGTCAGAAAATGGGCCAGAAACAGCTCCACATGCAGGCCGGTGACTGCGAGAAGGCGCTGGAGGTCTTCAAGCGCATGCGCTCCAGGGGCGTTTCACCCCACGGCGTGACCTACGCGTCGCTGGCCAAGCCCTTTGCCTACCGGGGTCACTGGGAGGCTGATCCGGGCCGAGCCGAGCCTGAAGGGGGCGGAAGTGGGGAGGAAGGGCGTGAGGGGGGGACCACTGGCAAGGTCTCCCAGCTAGCCCTTGTACCCTTTTTTGGGGGAGGGTTCCCCTACCAAAATAGACTACAGAAGAAAGGGCACCCTTATTCCAACCTCTCTACTGGAGGACCTAGACTGCGCTCAGAATGCATAATCGCTTGGTGCGCAGGCCACTTTATGAAATCCAACAGTTCTTCTGGTCACACGGAACCACAGTCCCCGCAGAATGATCTGAGGCAAGACTACAGATTGCACAACTGGTGTCGGAGCCAAGAAGCACTTCATCCGCCCATGGAAATTGAGGGTCTGCCACACAAACTGGACCAGGGTGCCATCACACGAGGGCGTTAGGTTGTGGACCGGGCCTATCCCTTTTCAACTGCCTGGTGCCTTGCAAAGCATCTTTTTTTTCAACAGCCCTATTGTTTGTCCCTCTGGCTCTTGCTCAATGATCATTGGTGAATGCCGGTGGGTTGTTAGGTGTCTGTCCTGCACTCGAAGTAAGTTCAAGCGTGCGATGTTCAGCAAACACATCCTGCACTTGCACTAACCGCATTCTCAGCAGGAAGGCGAATTATGTAGTATATAGGGTCAACGGGCGTTCCATCTCCAGTGGTAGCACCGGGCTCCTTGAGCAGATCAATGACTCAATGGCGATAGCAGCCATGCGAACTCAGATGAGCACGTGGCGTCTGCATCGTCATGCTGACAAGGATTCGTACAGCGAAAGCCGCGGGTTTCTATGTGTTTCGGCCCGGATAGCTTGGCTGACGTGCCAGTTGCCTTGACGGACGTGTTGACGGTTGCGCGGCTGCGCGTAGCCTCTTGTGATATGTCGAAGCGTCACGGCTTGCAGCGCGCGGGGGGCCTGTGATGATGAGGTGCTGGATAAATTGGTTGCGTCGATCACGAGTGATGTGGCTGCCCCACAGCGGCCAGCCCCAAAGTGAATTCCACTTGAAACCAAGACTGTCACACCAGTCCAAAAGAAAGCTCGAGGCAAGTGCCGTGTCAAGGTGATTGTTGGCAGAATGTTTCACTTCCGACTACGCCCGGCAAACCGGAGCTGTACTCTGCTAGCTGTTGTTGGACTTGGCGCAGTTTGGCTGTATGAGATACGGTCAGAGGATGTGGTGATGACAGCCGGACGTGCAGGTCTGCGTCTCGCTGCGCAACATGTAGTGATCCTCTTCAAGGTTGTCCTATACTTATGTTTTATTATTTAAAGACTCTTGCGAACGCCCTTGCCACCTGCTGGCGCGCGCGCAGATCTCACATGTGTTTGCGGCGCTGATTGGCATCCTCTTGCGTTTGTTGACATGTTTTGCATGTGTGTCATTTTTGGCATGTGCTGCATTACTGTCTTTTTTACTGGCAATGCTGCATGGTTGCAGCTTGCAGCAGTGATGCTGGAAAGATCGAGCGCGTGCAAGATGTTTGCGGTGCCGAGAAGTGAAGGAAGCGTCCGCAGGCGCCACCCATTGGAGCTGCTTTTGCCCATTGCGTCGTCCTTGAGAATCCCACTCAAGCCTTCTAAGAGGCAGGTTTCGGCAAGCGCCCAAAAGGCAAATCCGATAGTGTACACACATGTATATATATATATGTACACATTAAAAGGTGTTGCTTCTTTTTTCTTTGCAGGGGTGCATCTATGAGGGAGAGCCAAATTTGTTCAGGTGGTTGAGGAGCTGGGCGCCAACATGCAAGAGCAGGGCCTTGCGCCCAACGAGTACCTGGTGTACATGCAGCCTTGCCAGACTTAGCTTTCTTTACCTGCCCCTTTTAGTTTTGAATACCTTTGGTTTCCTACAACCCTAAAGCCAACTCACGTGGAACCCAGGGTTGCTTTCAAACGAAACGGGCTTCCAGGAGCCCATTTTCCTACGGCAACGTGGCTTGGTGGCACGGCAACTAATGACTCTCTGGTCAGTTCTCGTGGCCAGGTGCGGCACTTTCGGAGTATAGATGGACCGAGAGGGAGAGAGAGATAGATGGATAGATAGATTGATAGATAGATAGACACATAGAAAGTGGATGGGACAGATTGGTTGGTAGATTGATGGAGATAGCCAGATTGATGGTCTTGACACATAGGTACATAGACAGATTTGATCGATAGATCAGAATTTGATAGGTAAATAGACCGATGAAGAGATAGTTCGATAGGTAGACACATAGATAGACTTGTAGGTAGGTAGGTAGGTAGGTAGGTAAGGGGGATAGATAGGTAATATTAACAAATACGCCCCCCCCCCCCCCTATGAAAAATAAATCCACACAAAAATGTATTTTTTGATTGGGTTTTTGGGGTTGGGTTTTCTTGCTTTTCCAACAATGTGAGGGTTCACATAGGATTTGGAGGAAATGGATTGAATTGTAAGGTCCGCGAGTAAGCGGTTTAATAAGAAAAGTTGATGTATCATTCTATTTGTTTACCAGTTTACTGGTTGTTTGTTTGCAGCCAGGCAGGTTAATTAGCCAGCATGTGCGGGAGAGAGACAGTCGCAGCTTTTGGGGACATGTTTTCTTTTGAGGGACACCCCAATAACTAAAGGAACCCACCTTTGAAAAGTGAGGCTGGAAGCTTGCTAAAAGTGCCCCCTAATAAGGATTCCAAGACTTTAGTATTGGTTTAGTATTGGCGCAATGGAAAATCAATTGTGCGGAGTGGACATCTGGTCTCGGGCCCGCGGATTTGCATGTATTATTAATGGGGGTCATTCATTAATAGGGGGAGGAGATTAGGTAGAGAGATAGACAGATAAATAGATTGATAGACAGAGATAGAGCGACCGAGAGGTTAGGTGGATAAGTTGGCAGGGGCGGCAGAGACAGATAGATAGATAGGTTAGACTGGCAGCTGGGTACTATAAAGGCAGACGATAGATGCATAGCTGGATAGATATGTAGCTAGGCAAGCTAAGCAGACAGTGCAAGAGATGTAGAAAAACAAGACAAAGAGGCAGAGGGAAAGAGAGACATCAAGAAAGAAAGAAACAACGAGCGGAGGCAACACAAACAAAGAGAGGACGCAAAGGAGAGAAAGACAAAAGGAAAGAAATAACGGAAGGAAGCAAGGAAGGAGCAAGGAAGCAAGGAAGGAGCAAGGAAGGAAGGAAGGAAGGAAGGAAGGATTGAAGGAAGGAAGGAAGGAAGGACGGACGGAAGGAAGGAAAAAAGGAAGGAAGGAAGGAAGGAAGGAAGGAAGGAAGGAAGGAAGGAAGGAAGGAAGGAAGGAAGGAAGGAAGGAAGGAAGGAAGGAAGGAAGGAAGAAGAACTAATGATGACAAAGCGAAAGAAGAAAGAAAGAAAGAAAGGAAGAAAGGAAGGAAAGCAAGAAAGAAAGCCAGAAAGCAAGAAAGAAAGAAAGGAAGGAAGGAAGGAAGAAAAGACAAGACAATGCAAATAGAATGGAAAGGAAGAGAAGAGAAAAGAAAACAAGAGGGAAGACAGACGCCAAGAAAAAAAAGACATATCAATGACCAACAGCAATTGGAGAAACATAATGAAGAACACAAGTACAAGAACTTGATTTAGTCACATTGGTTGAAGCTGTTGCCCGTGCCTGCAAACGCTTTGTTGTTTCACGTGGAAAATTGCGATTCACCTGTACTTGCTTGTTGTCCTTTCTTAATTGTGCATATGATTTGTTCAGGGGTCCTTTTTGAGGTGGTTTCAAAGGAAAACCAAAAGGAAACAACTGATTTGGGGGTTCCCCCCTGGTTTGCCACATGCCAACAAGTGGCAGGAAATTAGATTTTGTTTTTTTCTGGTGGTGGTTGCAAAGAGACCTGTCTTGACTTCGATCCGAAAAAATGCAAGGCGTCCAGACATGGACTCTCTGCCGCACAGGAAGCAGGAAACAGGCGGTTACAAAGGGGAAACAGCAAAACCCCCAATCACCCACCATCCCCCAATCACCCACCATCCCCCAATCACCCACCATCCCCCAATCACCCACCATCCCCCAATCACCCACCATCCCACCATCCCACCATAAATGCGTGTGTTTTCCCCGAACCTGCCACCAAGGGGAAGCTTGGGACCAAGTGGTTCACCTTTCGGCGATCCGATCCGTCGAAAGGCAGCTGCTGGCCTATGGACTGGCAAAGCCGCGGCAAGACGCCAGGGCGGAGACATGCTTCCGGCAGGCGAAGAAGGAGCCGGCGAAGCAACATCGAAAAGCGTGCCGCACCCCCCGGGGGTTCTTGGACTTTGTTTTTTGGGAAGATCCATGTTAGTGGCAAGGAAGAAGTTGGGATTTGGCCAACTCAGCCCAGGAAGTGGAGTGTGTGTTTTTTGAGTGTGAAAAGTTTATGGGTCCCGGACCCGTTGGCGGACATCAATACTTGGCCACCGACCGCTTTTGGATCAGTGGTTCCCTGTCAAAGTTCAGAGTTATTCGGGCTTGTTTTTTGAGGCTCGGTGCCCTTATGGGTTCCGTTTTCTGTTTACCACAACCCATTTGGAGTCTGGAGTTGGCTTATCCCTTTCGTGGTTGCATGAGGAATCCAAAAAGAAAGGAATTCGAGCAGACTACTCCACTACTCCGCTACTCCGCTACTCCGCTTCCCCGCTACCCACTACTCCGCTACTCTGCTACTCCACTACTCCGCTACTCCGCTTCTCCACTACCTACTGCTCCACTAACCCACTACCCGACTACCAACTACACCAAGGCAACCAGTGCAAACATTAAAACATTCGTACACGCGGAGGAGGGGATGGTGCTGAACAAGCACCTCTTCACAGGTCTGCAGCGGCTCGGATTATTCTTTCATTTTTTGTCCCCTGGGTGCATGGCTGGCCTTTGGCCTGGCCCCTTGGACGTGCACCACAATCAAAACCTGGGTAGTTTAAGGTTAGTAAGGGACCGTGCCAACTAGAGATGGGGGCAGCCGCCTTGGTAGCTCTTTACATGATTTTGGGCCCATTTTGGCTCACCAGGTTTCGATGACTCATGACACAAATCTGGTGTTTTCCATTAATCCGTTGCAGAAGCTTAGACCTTTGCTCAGTCCCGCGTGATGCGTGATGGACTGCTCTTAGTCGCCCTTCGTGAGTCGCAAAAAAAAGGCGACTGGCACGGGGTTTCTCCCTAGGTGGGCAAAAAAAGCACGTGTCTTCCATTGGCTGAAATGATTGTTTTATTTATTTTTCTTCTTGGCTTTAAAGGAATCAATTTCACTACTGGAAATAGTGTTATTTGGTCCAAGGAGCTTAAGCAAATAGAAGTTTTGCGGGACGCGTTCTCAAATTTGGTTGGGGAAATCCCGCTAGAAACCAACAATTTAACGGACCCAAGGTTCTGTGACATTTGGGCGATGCTCCCAAATTGTCCAAATGCGGTGTGTGAAAAGGTTCTGAAAGAATGCAATAGCGAGGGTTGTTGAATGAGCGATAGTGAAAGAATGCCATAGCGAGGGTTGCTGAATTGGTGGCTTCCCATTTGAACACCTGCTGTTGTTTACGAGCAATGGTCATGGCAAATGCTTTGCGGTACCTAAGCCTGGAGCGAATGGAAGCTTCAGTTGCGACTTATTTGCCGGCCCAGGCCAAAATGTTTCTGCATCTTTTGGCAGCCGATTTTGGCGAGGAGCGACCCCTTTTGGGGGCATCCTTTGGCCCAGAGTGCTTCGTTGGGCCGCATCCAAAACTGAATGGGGCCCCAATATGAATCCGGAATTTGAATTTGCCTCCAAATGCTATCTGCCCTGGATTGAAATTGAGAAGATTCGGCTTAGGGGCATTTACGCAAGGTTTGAGTTTGGGCTCCCAATCCAAGTGAGTTTTGGTCAGATTTCCCTTCCCTCTTTTTTCAGCTCCTCTTCGGATTTGTGGAATCCCTTCATAGGGGTCAGGCCGGCGATGGGTTCCTTATCATGTTGCCGGCCCCTTTTTGAGTCCGGGTTCGATCCAGTGGATGGGTTTGGATCCCAGCGTGGGCCACACCACAAAACCACGGTAAATCGCACAGTAACTCCAAGCAAACACCATACAAACTGCACAAAAACGGTCGGCCGTGTTTTTTTCCCTGGATTTTTTCCGCGGGGGGTTTTCCTTACCCCGCCTCCTTTGCCCCCCTGGCACCTGACCACCCGGGTCAAACATCTCCGAGGAAGGCGGTGGGCCGAACTCGCGCCAAAGAGCTCTTGGAGGAGCTCCAGGGCCACGCTTAGCCGTGGAAAACGACCGGCTGGGGGTGGGGGTGGCGGGGGGTGGTGGGGGTGGTGGTGCGAGAGATGCGGGGAATGAGACGTGGAATGAACCCAGGCTTTGGTCCTCTTAAAGGAAACCACCAGTTGGATGGTTTGTAGGGGCTAACTTGGGGGTTGACCCGTTGAACTGTTTGGATTCTGGGTCCCAAGTTGTTGGAAAACTGCCTCGCTCGCGAGATCTCGCGAGGCTTCGGAGGCCCTGGCTCTTGCGATTCGGCACCCGGAGAAGCCAGTGCAGGCTTAGGGCATGATAGGGTGGTTTGGCGTGAGCTGGGTGAGTGCTGAGCAGGGGGGTTACGCCTTCCCGCGGCCGCGCCCGATCAAGTGACGGGGCAACCACCAGAGTTTCTCCAAGATGCGACACTGACCACGAAGCGTAACCTTCTCCCCGCTAAACTGAGGGAAGAGCCTTTCTTGTGATTTGTAGAAGGGGTATGTAAGGGTTTTACATATACACACACGCATACATATATATCTGTATATATATATATATATGTGTGTGTGTCTGAACTATCCCAATCCAAATGCAATGCTTTGAACCGGCTCAGGAAAAAAACACACACACAAGCCGCCCCAAAGGCGGGCTGCGAGAATCTCGCACGCCATGGGGCTGATGAAGATCTTGAGGCCGGCTCTCGCCCAAGAAACCTTTGGACTTTAGCTTTTTGGTCCCCCAGCTAGGTGCCCTTTCTCACCCCTTGGTTGGTTGGGAGGGTTCCCCTAAAATAGACTACAGAAAAAAGGACACCCTTATTCCAACCTCCCTACTGGAGGACCTAGTTAACTTTTTTGGTTGAAACAGTGGATGTTCCATTGGACCCGGACAAGGTCAGGCGTTTTGCAGAGGGGTCGACGGTCAACAGCAACCAAGTCCAGTCTCAGTGGATCCCGCGCGTTTGTTTCTTCCCTGGTGGGCTTAGGAACGAAGGCCAAGAGCTAGAACGCTCCCATGAAAGGGTCTCTGGCCTGGATCCCAGGAAGATGAAGCAGGAGGAGAAGGTGCGAAGACAAGCCTCGATCCGAGGGGAGCTACTGAAGGGTTTTGGACGGCTGGTTGCTTGAGGCCGGCAGCTGTGCAGTTGATCTTCGTTGAAAAGTGGGGAAAAAGGATTGGTGGCTCCCCTTGTTGTAAGGAAATGATTCATTTTTCGGGGGGTTCCTCCGGAGCATATGATCCAGAGTCAACATTTTTTTGGATGGACCTTATGGGCTTCACATCACTAGGTATGGGTGAAACCCTGCCAGCAACTGGGGCAAACCCCCTGCCAACCAGGAGATCCGCATCCTCATGCTTGGCCTGGACAACGCAGGTGGCCCGCGGAACATGTGTTGGTGGCATTGAAAAGCTGTTGCCCATGGGTAATTATGCGTCAAAGTCTCACTTCTTGAATTGGACTTCAAACTTGTTGGGGGTTGGACCATTTTGGTGGTAAGAGAAAGGCTCAGACTCTTTGTTTGCCCATGCACTCAAGTGAGAAATAGGGCGACCCCCGAAACAGTGGCTGTCCTTACCCGCGATGAGCAAGGTACTAGCAATCTCTCTCACACACACACACACACCACATTTTGGTCAGGCAAGACGACCATCCTGAAGAAGTACTTGCCTCAGACGTCGCAGTTTTCGTTCGCTGGTTTTCCCCGCGCAAACGTTGGGTGCACGTTTGCAGCCAACCCATGGTTGCAAGTTTCAAGGTGGCTTCTGGGCGATTCCTGGGTGATGTTCGGAGAGGTTTCATGAGGAACCATGCTTCCCAGCTGGTAGGTTCAACGGGGAGCCCGTTGACACGATCTCACCCACTCTGGGTTTCAACATCAAGACGGTGGAGCCGCGCCGGCCATTTGATTGGGGCGGATTCATTTGTTCGGCTGGCTTTGCGGGACGAGCAAATGAGCAGGGATTGGCAAGTTGACCAGACACCAACAGAGGCAAACGAGCCAATTCGAAGGTTGCCGATCACTTGCCGGGCTTCTTGGGTTGTTTTTGGGGCGGAGCCAGGTACGAAGGCTACAAGCTGAACATTTGGGATGTGGGCGGGCAGAAGACCATCAGAAGCTACTGGAGGACCGGACTACGCAGGGATCACGGGGGTTTTGGACGCGGAAGGCTTCCAAGGAGGTAAACCGACGTAGGCAAAGCCTGATCCCTTCTTCCTAGTATAGGGCTCCTGAAAAGATACGTTTTGCAACCATTTGAAACATGGCTTCTTCAACACCAAAATCAAGGGAAACCACCATTTACAAGGCAATGTTCAGGCGTGTAATGTAAGGATCCCTGCTGTAGTAGAGCAGGTCCCATCGGACATGCTTTTCCAAAGCCCACGGTCCCCAATATTACAATACAGCAGCTGGCGGCGTGGCGGGTTTTCTCCAACTCTGGTCCTATTCGCCTTGGTCCTTTCCTTTCGGACCCAACATGAAAAAACCCAGCGATGCCAAATTCCCTCACACCCCTCGGGCCCCTCGGAGTGCACCTGGAATAGGGCCCCTAATGGAGGGGGAGGGGCTCACGTTAGTGAGCTCACCCTCGGGGATTAGAGCCTCCATGATGAGGGCCCCTTGTTGAGTGATCCCGTATGCCCGGTCTGTGAGTTGTAGTAATTTGTGCCGATTTGAAGCGACGTTGCAGCACGTGGGTTGCAGGATGTTGCAGGGTCTGACCGGCTTGGGTTTCGTTTGCTGGGTTGAAGAGTTGCCTCAAAGCGGGAGGAAGTTTATTCCCTCAACATTGCAGCGGACAAGGAAACCCACTGACCGTGGTTGGCCCACTAGCATCATCTTGGCAATCATTCTGAGGCTTGACTCATTTGCGCGCGAGAGGAACTATTTCGAGGCCACCGACGGCTTGATTTGGGTGCCACAGCTGAGTTTCGGAGCTGCCAATGCCCGCTTTCCAGGGATAGGCATCAAACAAAAACTTATTAGGGATCAAACAAAACTGTTGATCTACAGGGAAAAATGTTTGATGCCTAAAGAAATGTTTTTTTGTCCCTCACCCTGCTTTTTCCGCGAGATGCGTGTGAGGTGGTGGACTCGGCTGATCGACAGCGGCTGGAGGCACGAGCGAAAGTTTGGGATGTGAAGAGATTTCTCGCTAGCCGCAGGACTGCAAGCAGGAACTCGCAGCTTAGTCGCAGAGAGAGCGAGCCGCTGGTGGTGGAAGGATTTTGGGGTCCAGTTGGCTGTGGCGCAAAAAAACAGAAAAAGAGGAATTCCGAAATTGAACCCTGGTAAGTGGAAACATGGACCAAAGCCTGCGGTTTGCCCCTCCTGTTTAATTTTGAGCCACAATTTCTGTACCATCTTGACGGCCCATGTATCGAGATGAGGATCGGCTGCTGCAAGAAGAGCGCTTGGCAGGAGTTTGGCTGTCACCTTTTTTCGAGTGTGCCCAAGAAGGGTTTTGAGAAGGACCATGAAGGGAGACCGCCCAACATTTGGGGTTTGCAAATGAGGGGCGACATCCGGAAAAGCAGGCGGGCAACACAACACACGCACACACACTCATTTATGGTAATGCCAGGTTGCTTAAGCAGTTTTCTAGGAGGAGCAGCAGGAGTGCTGGTTTTTCTGCCCGCGACCCTTTTTGCCTTCTGGGCCGCTGCTTGCCACGAGCGCCTGTTGAGAGGTTTCGTCTTAGGAGGCTGAACTTGTGCTAAATCTCATTTGACGAAAGGGAGGGAAGTCAGATGAAAGCCACGTGTTGGCCCCGGGATTGGACCATGTGGATCTCGTCCCTTCCCAAACGGGTGTGTCCTTTTTGTAGGACACCCCCCCCCAAATCCCCAAATCCCCCAAATCCCCAAATCCCACATGGTGGCTTTTCCTTGGCGCAAGCCTTGAAAAACCAACGAAATGTCCCAAGTCCCAAAGAATTGACCGACCCAACTGGATGGACCAATTTGTCGCCGCGGCTTTCCAGGAGCCACCCTCCTCATCTTTGCCAACAAGCAAGACCTGCCCGGCGCCATGTGCCTTTCTCAGATGGGGCGGTGCCCAAGGATCGAGAAAAAAAAACCGAGGGCGAAACCGTTTATTGGCAGCGATGTTTATGTTTTCCGGCCGCTGCGCCGAGTTTCTGGATCAGATTCTTCCCTTTTTCTTGGTGTTGCAGCTTTTGCAGGGGAATCCTCAGGAGAGAGAAAATCTGCGTTTTGTTCAAGATGGCTTTGCTGAAGGGCCTGCTATGGATTTGAGGAGTGCGGTTAGGGATGCACAAAACCCGGGTAGTTGAAGGTTAGGAGACAGTCCCAACCTAGAATAGGTTCAGCCCTCTTGATGCTTTACAGTTGGGGAGGCCACTTCAATGCGTGTTGGGTGGTTTAAGAGGACATCAAGAAACCAGCCATAGCGGTTCATGAGACAACCGCGGATGTTGATCGTGACTCTTGGGTGACCAAATCGCCCTGAGTTCAACTGGTCTACCCACATCGCCCTGACCCTTTGCGGGATTTCTGGCCTCCCTCAAAACAAATCGCTCCAAGAAACCCGCTGGTCGTCGGGTTCTTGCGGAGGACCGCCCCCGAGATCCGCGACTTCCTGCAGCTGGAGCAGATCAAGCGACGTCACTGGCCGGGGACCCCGTTCGAGAGACCCAGGGCTTAGGTACGCCAAAGGACACCAGCCCCATGTTCGGCCCCCCCCCCCTCCAACACAAAACGCAAGAAACAACGACATGGTGTCTTCTCTGCTTGTCTCAAGCGTGAACTCTGCACACGCCACCAAATAGAAGTGTTGGGCGTGTCTCGAAATCAATTGGCAACTCTAAGCGTCTGTGTGGCTTCCACACAACAGGTAGCCACAAAGACAGACGCTCCCACATGTTGGGCGCATGTTTCAAAAATGGCAAGCAATGGAATCGAAGGATGCGGATGTTTCGCTCAGAGACCACTTTAGGCTTGGCCACCCAGAGCATCATGAACAGCGACAAGCTTGCTAGCCGTGGAACCCCAAAGAAAATTGCAGAGGAT